TTTCTTGTGCACCGGTGCTGAATTCACAGACTGATGGGGAAATGGTCCAGAACAAACTTACAGACGAGAAACTAGTGCCTGGCCCTGACAGATCCACCAATTCCAATTATCCAGTAGGCAGAACCAGGCAGGCTGCAATTGCCTGTGCCGATCAGTTTGCAAAGCAAATGTGCAAAGCCTGAGCACAATGTGCGTTGTTTGTTTAGAAACTCTCCCCATGAGGAGACACAGCAGGGACATCAGAAAGACCTGAGGATCGTTTCGTTGACAGTGTTCCCCCTCCCTCTGATCACAGCCATGCACTGGAGAGATAATAAATTAATGTTTTTATAGGGGACGTGATGAGGGGTGAGGGGGTGGGGGGGGGGGGGAAACTCACATGAAAGGAAGCCAACAGCTGCAAAGAGCCTAAAAGGCAACACCAGAAAATCCCCCGTCAGAGCCTGCCTGTTTTCCATTAATGAGAATGCAGGACAGGTTTCTGGTAGCTTTATAATTCCTTGTACGGAAAGTCATAACACAGATAATTGCTACACATGTACCTTACCACTGTCTCCCGAGATTTTAATTCTCCCTTCCACCAGACCTAAAATTAAAAGCAATTTGTTGGAGAGCAGTTAACAAAGATACTGTGTTACTCTTGAGTGGACCATGCAAGTCCTGGAAAATCTGTATTTTTATCATGGCAAATAAGCTCCACGTTACTTCTTCGCATGCAAAATGCTTTACTGCAGCTTGATCTGAGAGGTCTTGGAGTTGCGACATCCCTGCTGTGAAGGAGAGTTCACCAACTCCCATGCCACAATAACTTAGATGCTTGTGCAGATGCTACGAACTTCTGTTGGGTTCCTGTTTGCTCTAAGGGACCAAGTCCAGCACCTCTGTGGAGCCAGACACAGGAAGCTGCTGAAGACACGTTTGGTCCTAATATCATGCAATGAATAAATAACTTACCCATCTTTGCAACAGTGTGAATTAAATTTTACGTTTATGCAATGATCATTCCTGCTACTATATTATTCTTATTGACTATGCTTCTGCAGAGACTCTTCCAGATTCTGTTTATTTTGATGAGATGAATTAATTGCACCCTTAATGGTGCACCTTTGTGCACAGCTGCTCAGGACTAGTTGACGCCGAGTTCAGCCAGTGAGAAGGGTGCAGGACAGCAGCCTAAATCTCGCTCATGGTAGTCAATGGGACCTGGTCATGCTTACCTGCAGCCGACGAGTTGCTGCTGTTACGGTGGCCCACGTGTTATTTTCCCAAGTTCATGGAAGTGGACATGCAGGATTGGTGCCGAGGCTCAACTCTGGATGGGGTGAAGGCCAAGAAGCTGAGATTCGGTCCCAGCGAGTGGGAGGTACCATCTGTGGGTCTGTAACTGGGAAAGTAGCATTCGGTCTTTAAGGGTGTGTCCTCTGTGGCCTCCCAACAGGCAGGCCTGCCATAATCAGGGTGCCACCACCAAGAAGGCCCCTCAAGGAGGAAGGCCTCAGAAAGAAGTCCTGCCTCGGTGCCTGGGTAGGTTTACGATGGGAGAGACGCTCTGTCAGACACTGCAGTCCTGGGCTGTGCGATGCTTCATGTCAGGGGTGGCCAGGCTTGCTTGACCGAAGAGCCACATATCATGAATGTCAGATGTCTGAGAGTTGCAAGCAGGTGCCCGCAGGCAGTGACAACAGGCAGCAAGTGGGTGGTGGGGGGCCAGCGGGCTCCCACAGGTGTATACAGACCCACATGCAGCTCCCGAACCATGGTCTGGCCATCTCTGCCTCATAACTGAAAACCAACACCTTGAATCGGGCGCCGAAACATATAGACAGCCAATGAAAGCAGGCCAGAATGGGGGATACATTCAGGCCTTCTGGCCCCATCTGACTGGTGCAAAAGCTGCAGCTTCTGAACAGTCGTCAAGTCTGCGGCTGCACAAAGAATGCATTGCAGTGACAGGGTCTGGAGGTCACCAGAGAATAGCCAGGTTACTGCTGCCCAGATAGGGTCATAGCTGGTTGATGGCACGCCATGCCCCTGAGGCCACTGGAGCCTCAAGTGGCAGGGACAGCTCTCAGAGAACCCCCAAGGGGTGCGTCTGCTGCTTCAAGGGAGTGCAGCCCCATTCAGAAGAGGCTGAGCATCCTCCATCCAGCCAGGAGAAGTGCCCACTAACAGCATCTCAGCCTGGCCTGAACTAAGTTCGGCTTATTTGCCTGCATCCAGCCCATTGCTGCAACCAAACCCCACCTGGCATATCCACAGCTTCGCTTCGAAGGGGATGCAAAGAAGCAGGGGCTGTGTGTCATGGGCAGCATACTCCAAGCTCAGTGCTGTCATGTTGACCAACGCTCCAACGTATGAGAATATCAGCATAGTATCATTTGCTAAGGGACTGCAGGTGGAGCAGCGGTTTAAACTGCTGTGCTGCTCGGCTGGTAGATCGAAAGGTCGCCGGTTCGAATCTGCACAACGGGGTGAGTTCCCGTTGCTCCGTCCCAGCTCCTGCCAACCTTGCAGTTCGAAAGCATGCAAATGCAAGTAGATAAAAAGGTGCCACTTCGGTGGGCAGGTCACAGCGTTCCGTGCACCTCGATGTTTAGCCATGCCGGCCACATGACCACCGAGACTGTCTGCGGACAAACGCTGGCTCCCTCAGCTAGGAAACGGAGATGAGCACCGCCCCCTCGAGTCAGGCATGACTGGACTTAATGTCAACAGGAAACCTTTACCTTTACCTATCATTTGCTATTTTAAACAATTATTTTTACTCAAAAGGCCATCCACCTTCTGAGAAGCATACTGGAAATTACCGTTCACCACCCTAAACCCCAGATGGCAGTGGCCCAGCCTTCCCCAACCTGAAGAGTTCCAGATTTTTTGGACTATACTTCCCAGAATTCCTGACCATCAGACATGCTGGCTGAGGTTTGATGGGAATTGAAGCCCAGAACATCTGGAGGGCATCAGCTCAAGGAAGCCTGGGATAGACTGTCACGTTCATCTACAGTAACAATAGGACCATGAACAAAGTGAGCTGATGGGAGGCAGAAAAGCACTGGAAAGTATCAACAATGCCCCCAGAAAATTTAATAACGTAAGAACATCACAAGAGCCTGCAGGGTCAGGCCTGGGGTCCATCTAGTCCAGCATTTTGTTCACCAGCCAACCAGCTGCCCACAGGAACATGAGAAGCAGGAGATAAATGCAACACCCCCAGCCATGTTCCCCACCAACTGGTGTAACATAGTATTTACCTGCTCAGTACATGTTTGTGTATGGAGACAGCATGAGGACTCATAGCCATGGATTGCTTTAACCCCCATAAATTTGTCCTCTCCCCTGTTAAAGCTGTCCAAATTGGTGGCCCTCACTACAATTTCTGGAAGATAATCCACAGTTTAACAGCCCGTGGTGGGAAGAAGCCCTTCCTGGGAGGAACATGCGCTCATGATCATCTGCGACGCAGGCTGGACTTGCAGAAGCGAGTTCCTCTCCGGAGACTGCTTCCTGCAGCCCTTTGGCGTGGATTCAACAGGCATCCCGAAATCTAGATCAGGTTGATCTGGAAGGCAGATGTCACAGCTCCCTCTGTTGGAATCTGCATGCATTCGGGAGTGGCTTCTGCAGCTGCAGGCTCTGAGCGTGTTTTCAAAAAGCAGGGAAGCAAACCAATCCACACAATGTTGTGCATCTTTCTTTTCTTAATAACAAACTCATTAGGTGCATGCTTACATGGGCAGGGCCAATGCAGATAGGAATAATACACAGCACCAAAGTAAGCAGGAGGGAGACAGAGGTCATATCCCACTGAGGTGGTAGATTCAGTTGTGGTGCAGTGGTTCAGAGCACGGGACTGGGACGCAGGACCTCTGGGTTCCAGACCCCACTCAGCCATGGAGCCCACTGGGTGAGCCTCAGCTCAACCTTCCTCAGAAGGAGGAGAATGATGTAAGCTGCCTTGAGTTCCTTGGAAGGAAAAAAGGCGGGATATAAAAGAGCCAGTGTGGTGCAGTGGTTCAGAGCGTGGGACTGGGACTCAGGTGATCCGGGTTCAAGTCCCCGCTCAGCCATGGAGCCAAGTGGGTGACTTTGGGCCAGTCACAGACTCTCAGCCCAACCTACCTCACAGGGCTGTTGTTGCGGGGATAAGATGGAGGAGGAGATGTAAGCTGCCTTGAGCCCTTTGTAGGAAAAAGGCAGGATATAAATCGAAAAATAAATAATAAAACAAAAACTAGGAAACCCCTACATGTGAGTGGGTGCAAGTCCTCATCGTTCATTGAGACTCTGGGGGAGGGGGGGAATAAATGTTTCAGAGAATTCAGCACTTGGAGCATCCTAAGAGGGCATGCAAGATAAAAGCAGCAATGACAATTAAAACCAGCAGCCCAAAAGTTAGGAAAAGGCCAGTAAGCTTCCCTGAAAATCTGTGAAGAAGCCCCATGAATCCTCAGTCAAAGCACATTCCAGAGGTGTGGGCCTGTGACCAAAAAGACCCCCATCCATCTTGATGGCAGACAAGTGAGAAAGTCAGGACTCATATCATGCATCAGCTGAAGTTTCTGAATCGTCTTCAATGGCAGTAGCCCAGCCTGGGTGTCACCTATGTCTGAACAGCCAAGGTAAGAGTCTCCCTCCCCAGAACTTTTACTTATTACATTTATACCCCACCGTTCTCCCATTGTGGAGCTCAAGGTCTCCCCTCCAGGCCCAGGCCAGCCCCAGCCCTGCTTAGCTTCCACATGGTGGATGCCTTACATGCCTTCAGACCATACTCTGGGCATTAGACTAGGCTGATCAAAGCTCTCCTGGCTCCCTCCACCGCGGGAGCTTCCCCACTTAATGCTGCGTCCGGGTGCATTCCCAAATCACGCTCTTCATCCTTTGGGGGGATGAGACTTTTTCTGGCACTCAATGTACTACTCTATCCAGGTCTGATCCAGCAGAGCCCTTCTTATGCTTTAGCACTGAACTCCCTGATTTAAAAAAGGTAACAGATTGCCTCATTTTGTCATCTTTATTATCTGACAGACAAGGCTCAGCAAGGAGCTGGCTGCCGGTTGTCTTTTTTGCTCTTCTCTTTTTAAAGGCCAAAATCCAAAAAGAGCTACCCTAAAAGACACACCCAGTATGAACCGCGTGCATCCAAACACCGAATTTGTCAACAAAAATGTCACAGTTACAGACAGGGAGCAAACGAGGTGCATTAACTCAGTGGCTGCCACTGGGATCAGTGCAAAGAAACATTCAATGAGTTCAACATGGGAACACACTTTAGGTCAAATGGAACTTGAGAATGAACTTTTGGCAGTTGCTCTTCTGGTCTAAGCTCTAGAGCAACATCTCTGTGCCCAGAAAACCCTGAGGTTTTGTTCCTCCACTCCCACTCCACGTCGCTGATTGTCGGGGTAAAGACCGGGGAAAGCTGAGCTGGTGGGATGCAAGGCACAGCGTTACACCAGGTGCTACCATGGGAAAGGGGCACAGCTAGGCTTGGAGTGTCTGCAAATTTTTCATTAAGACTTGGTTTGGATCTGTCCCTCCCTGAGCACTCAAAGGTGCCTCCTCTGCTGGATCCTGGAACATTCAAAGGGAGCAGTCACAAGGACTTCAGCCTCAGCTTCAAAATCAAGGCTATTTAAGTGCATCTCCAGGCAGTCAATAGAATGCCTCCCTCTCCTGGCTCCTGTAACAGAGAGAGAGGCCTTTATCCTGAGAAAGCTTATCTTTCAAATGACTTCTTTTGTATGTCTCGCTCTTCCTCGTTCCAACAATGGCTAAGGCACGAGAGGGTGGGTGAAAGGCCGCGAGTGGCTCTTTTACCACTCTGTGAATTTAAGCACTGGTGAAAGACAGAAAACCACAGTCCTGGAGATTTTGGAAAGGAGCGCGCTGAGGAGAGGGGTTTTCCTTCAGTTCTCACAGCGCAGGGTGCACTTCGCTTGCTTAATTCCAAACCATCTTGCATGTGAGCTTTGATTTTGGCTGGGAAGAGGCGGCTTCCTCCAATAAGACCCAGGCAGGCTGGTGAAGGCTCATCAGGCTATCTTGCCCGGCAGGCGTGGAGGGAAGCATGGGGCTTCGATGCTCTCCTGGCTCCCGAAGTCTCCCAGGGGGCCTCTGTGGATCTGCTCTTTCTAAATGCTGGTGCGTCTGCTGTATCAGTCCTTGCATGAGTGTGAGGGCAGGTCACCCAAGCCGCCTTATTTCTTACAGTTGGGTCTGTCCTCCGTCGGCAGGCTATTCCTGCTTCCAAATAAGGTACCAAGGAGCCAGCTCTGCTGGCGTAAGCGTTGGGGTGTTTCTTTGAAACGTCAAGAACATCGTCCCTGCAAAAAGATGGAGCCAAAGTCAGCCAACAGTACAGCTCACTTCTTGGAACAATTTCTTGCTGGTCAGCAGTCAAATAGCTGGTATGTCACACCAACAAAATGGGAGTTTTATCAGGCCAGGAGGTACCCACAGAGCTAGGATGATGTGCTTTATTTTATTTTATTTTATTTTATTTTATTTTATTTTACAGTCTTGCTGTTAAACCGTCCTGAGACTACAAGAAGAGACAGCCTAAAAGGTTTTACATCAATAGTCAACAAGTGGATTTCCTTCATCCTGCCACCCATGGAATTATTTCCGCATCCAGGTTAGGGTCTGGCATTTCAGTTCTCATACCTTTTGGGGACTTGTCTGATGTGAGCCGGAGACTGACCTAGAGGTCTACGTACTCTGAGTCCACGTCCACTCTTTTTGCTTTGCCAAAGATCAGGAATGTGCCGAGCCCAAGGGCATTCACCACAGCCACGAGCTTGAAAACAGGCACCCACGAACCGGTACTTTCGATGAGGTGTCCAGCCAAGTACACGCACACAACGCCTGCATGCAGGAAGGAAGGGATACCTTTCTCTGTGCCACACCAACACTCCAGCCTTCCTCCTTGGTTACCTTTCAGATTTGCTGGAAACCATTTACCATCACACCCTATTAGCATGCTCCATCTTGACTGAGGATTATGGGAGGTGCAGTCCAACACATGAAGAGGGCTCTAGGTTTGGGGAATGGCTGGATTCCCTCTTGTTTGCGGCTCCAGAAAAACCAAGCAAGTCTGCATTTGTATAAAGCGATGCTACCACCTTGGATCCAATGGACACCCGTTTGGCTGCTATGCCTCCCTGCCCAAAGAAGCTGGGAACTGTAGTTTGGGGAGGAATGCCCACAGCTGCACCCATGGCTTCCCACCATATTTTAGTCAGATGAGACGCAGCCTGACTGCCCATGCAAAACCAAGCCATCACAATATACCCTTGTGGAGAAAAACCAGCTCCTTCCCACTGGCCACTGCCCAGCTACTGTGAGAACTGCAGCTAAATGTCAAGGGAACAGGGAAATCCAAGGTTGGTGGCAAAAGATGCCCACATCCCGGCTAATCAAAAAGTGCCAGAACTGTGATCTTGCAAGCACTGGTTTCACTACACCATAAGGTAATAATTTACCTGATAAAGCTCCACCTGTATTCGCCACACCTGTAGAGACAGAAAAAGGAAGGCAATGCATGACTCCAAAAATTACCTAATGGCTTTAATTCCCTGAGTCTTTTGTTTCCAGTTCTCTACGCAAACGCATGCATGATTTTCTCTTCTCCCAAATACTGGACTTTGTCTCAAACAGGTTCTCTGCATCCTTCTCTCAACCTACTTCTCCCTCAAGTTCTTGCAGAAGACACCTTCTTTTTTTCTTGTCAGAAAACCTTTCCTGAAGGCCTCTCTTTACCTGGGCTCCTGTGGCCACCTCCGGCACTGATGGTGCTCCAAGTCCAACACACACGCCCTTCTAACCCCGTCAGCTCAAGTGCCTCCCGTCAGGTGACAGGAAAGAGGATAAGGCTCAGCAGTCGGCCTCCAAATCCACACCACTCACTTCAGGCAGCCCATCAAACTCCCACAAAACATCTCATGTACTGCAGGTTTCGGTGTGCCTCATTCAGAGAGCAGCACGGGACTCACAGAGAGCAGATGCTCAGATAGGAAGCGTTGTTCCTTCATCCCCTTTAACCACTCTGCCATCCTTGTTCCACACAGATTCTCTGCTAAAGAACGGTTAAAGGTGGAACTAGTCCTGGTTAGTCCAGAAGATAATAAAGAGTCAGCTCCATGATTAAAAAACCGGGCTTGGGGCTATTCCAGGAAGAATGTCACGGCAAAGGGGAAATGGGATGGCGTCTTGCCTCCCAGTGGCCCTTGGTTCTCCGGCTGATGGGGGAAACCAGAGTCTGCACTCCCTGAGAACATGGTTCAGGTGTCCCCTTATAGCGCCAAGCCCAGTTTTCTAACCGTGCGCCACTGCTTTGCTCTTCCCTGCCAGAAGGAATGTCTAAGAAGTTTGAAACTAAGAACTGGCACCTGAGTGTTGCTCTTCTCCTTCTCCCTCCCCTCTTCCCATCTTCTGTCACGTCTTTTAAACTGTAAGGCTGAGGGCAAGAACTGTCTTAGTATTAAGTTTTATAAGCCACACCAGGAGTGGTTTTGGCTGAGGAGCAGAATAAAAATAGTGCAGATACATAAAGGAAACCATGGAGGCTCAGTCTGGTCCATGTGTCTTGGCATGGCATTCCATGTTTACCTAAACTGGTTGTTTCTCAGCCTGAATATAAAAGCAGGGAATAATTTATCTCACCGAAGAGCAAGCCAGCACATGATGGAGCCAAGTCCTGTATATTGACGGAGATGCCACTGTTAGAAGAAAGTAACAAGAGCATGAATAAAGACCAAGACCAGGAAAGGAAGCTGGCAATTAGTTAATTTCTGAAAAACTGGGTATCATTTTAGCAGAATGTGACCTTAACCGGAAGGAGCACTTTCATAAAGTCATAGAATGGTAGAGTTGGAAAGGGGCAAAAAGGCCCTCAGGTCCAACCCCCTGATCAGTGCATGAGCAGCCGAACCAACCCACTTGGATGGCTGTCCAGCTGTGTCTTGAATGTGGGAGAGCCCACCACCTCCCTAGAGAACTGGTTCCACTGCTGTACTGCCCTAACAGTCCGGACGTTCTTCCTGATATCCAGCAGGAGCCTGGCTTCCTGTAACTTGAACCCATTGTCCCACGTCCTGCACTCTGGGATGATGGGGTATGAGGCGAGGCTGAGGGAACTGGGTCTCTTCAGCCTGGAGGAGACTCAGAGGGGATCTGTTGGCGACACACAGGTATGAGAGGGGGTGTCACACGGAGGTGGGTAGAGGCCAGTTCTCCCCTGCAGAGGAGGGCAGGACGTGTCCAACGGAGCAAAGTTCAGGGAACCCAGGTTCCATTTAGATGCCAGGAAGCACTTCCTGACAGTCAGGACCCCGAGGGTGTGGAATGGGCTTCCATGAGAGGTGGTTGCGGCCCCATCAGTGAGGGTGTTTAAGTATAGGCGAGACATGCACATGGTGGGCATGTCGTGAGTGGAGCCGGCTGGAGCCAGGGGTCAGACTAGATGGCCCAGGAGACCCCTTCTGACTCGCTCTGTTTCTATGTTTCTATGATTGAGAAGAGATCCTGACCCTCCTCTTTGTGACAGCATTTCAAGTACTTGTAGAGGGGTATCATCTTCCCCCTCGGTCTTCTCTTCTCGAGGCTAAACATGGCCAGTTCTTGCCATCTCTCCTCCCAGGGCTTTGTTTCCAGTCCCCAGATCATCCTGGTGGCTCTCCTGTGAACCCTTTCCAGCTTGCCCGTATCTTTCTTGAGGTGCGGTGACAAGCTGTGGCAACAAGCTTCAATGCATCATGCCCTTCCCTGGTAAGGCACACACATTCATGGCTAAGCAGCGATCTGAAGTCAGTCCTCCCCACTCAAGATCTGTCTGCCGAGCCACACCGGCTGCCTGCGCCACTCGCGGATTCCCGGGAAGCATTCAGCGAAAAGCATGTGCTCCTACCTGTGGTTGAAGGTCTGGAATCCGATGCAGGCCGACGCAAGCACAACCGCTTGGCAAAAACTGGAGGAATAGCCGATACCCAAGGCAAAAACACTGGAGACACCTGAGCCAACAACCTTAGAGAAGGAGAACAGATGAGCTGAGGTGGTGGGCAGGCCTGGCTGTCTTCGGAGCGCAAAGCAGCATCACCTGAGCATGACCCCACCGATTCTGAATGAAGAGGAATGCCATCTGGCCGCTCCAGCTGAGGTGTACCTGGATCTAAGTGCCATTGAGCTCTGTGGGATGTCCTGCCTCGCGAACATCCACAGCATCGAAGAACGGACGAGAGGCAACACAGTTTATTCTCTGCCCATCACCACCCTGCTCTTAACCTCACAACAGTCTTACAAGGCAGACCAGAGGGAGAAATAAGTCACAGGCCACACAGTGATTGCAACAGGGTCTTCCTAATCTGTGTTGGGCTTCCTTTGTACTAAACCCCCGCCCCCCTCCGCCCCTGCCTTCGTTCTCATGCAAAGACACTCCTCCTCATGCAGAGACATATTCCCATGGCCCAAGCCTGAAATAACATTTCAGTTCTTCTCTCACCTGCATAAACTTACGAATAGTGATTGCTTTATACCCTGAAAGAAAACAGACAGTCAATGCCAGCGATTAACAGAGGCGGTTGCACAGCACTTGCAGAAGGGAGACCTGGATCTATCCACAGATACCCAAGTAATCTGAAGTAGACTGGCAGCAACAAAACAGGTAGATTTGCACGACGTGGGTGGCTCATGGGGAGGTCGTTAATCAAGGATGATGCATGTGTGGTTTAGCCCTTGAATAACCTACGATGGCTGGGTTTGCACAACACGCCACCATCCCCAAACCCTGGCTGCATATTTAAACTAGCGATCATACCCACCCACCCTGCAGCCCTGCTCATCGTAAGTTAACCCATCGCAATCCAGCCGTGTCAGGCAAACCATCTGCAGTTCTGGCCTTCCAAAGAAATGAAGCGTGACTCTCCAGCCTACCCTGCATTTTAAATCACACTGCTGAAAGCCTGGGAGAACCAGGCGTGAGGTGTTGTGTGGACAGACTATGAGCTTCAGGCCCGGGCCTCCAAACAGATAGATAGATATTTATTTGAACATTTCTATGTCGCCCCTTGCCGAAGCCTCGGGGCGGCTTACTACACAATAAAATACAATACAATACAAAAATAACAATGTAAAATTAAAATTAACAATATAAAATAAAAAAATATATAAAAGAAGTTATAAAAGAAAAGAAGTCGCCCTGGCCAGATAACTAAGTAAATATTGTTAACAATTAAAATGATGTTTAAATAAAAAGGTCTTCACCTGGCGCCGGAAAACAAATAACGACAGCGCCAGGCGGACCTCTCTGGGGAGCACATTCCACAGATTGGGCACCACCGCAGAGAAAGCCCTCCTCCGAGTACCTACCCTCCTAATTTCTTTCACGGAGGGTTCCCAGAGAAGGGCCTCTCCCACAGATCTCAGGGGGTGTTCGGGCATATAGCAGATTCATGGGCTCAGAATTCTTTCCTTCTAAGTGTCCGTCATCCCTGAAGAGGAACCAACTTTCCGGCGATAGCAGGTTCTCCCTGATCTCTCCTGTTCAGTCCCGACCATAAGGGCAAGGCGGTGAAGAGCTGAACAGCGAGCGGAACGTAAGAGGCAAAGCTTTTGCCCTCCTGTTCCATAGCAGGACAAGAGTTGCACCAGTGAGCTTTCTACCTGAAGAGGGGAGTGGAGAACTAAAAGAACCAATTACCATGATCGATGCATCGGTCAGAAAGGAATCCGCCAAATAAGCTCATTGGGATCGCCACCAGCCATGGAACAACATTAAATATCCACCCCTGCAAGAGGAAAGAAAAGGTGCTTCACTAGCAAAGGCCTAGAGAGAACCAGCTGACGAGGCACGCGATGGTTTTCGGTGTTTCTATTGTACTTGTCCTCCTCCATTTCTTCCTCCTCCTCCTCTCCTCCTCCTCGTCATCATTTCTTTACCACTTCAATAGCCAAAATTGTTTGGGTGGTTTACAACCGTTTATAAAAATGCAGATCACAGATACAATAAACACGGCACAGAATGTTTCCAATATATAACGTAAAAAACAATTCAATAGCGCCAAACAGTCTTAGTATAAACTAACCCTACTCAAAAGAGTTGGTGTAAATGCCCCGTCATGCCATTAAGTACCCTGAGATGCCACCGGATGCCCAAGAGAAGAGGGCAGTCTCCACCTGGTGCCAAAATGCGGCAATGCAGGTCTCAGGGAGGCCTCGGCGGGGAGATCATTCCATAATTAGGGATTATGACCAGGCGATGGCCTGACCAGGTCTCCCGGGACGGTGGCGGGCTGGTAAGGACCATGGAAGCAGCTCTTTGTGAACTAGACCAGGACTGCCAACACGGACTGGCAGCAACGGGTCTGTAGGGTTTCAGGCAGGGGTCTTGATGAGCCCCGGCTAGAGATGTTGGGGAATGAATCTGGGGGCTTCTCCATGGAAAGCAGGGGGTCTACCATTAAACGGAGACCCAGCCAAAGACTGCTAGTGCGTATGAGCAGAGGCTTTCCAGGGGCCATTCCGGAGGTGCTGAGAAACACCCCTGTGCAAGGGGCAGGCATGTGCTCCCCATGCAGAAGGCCCCGAACTGGTTCTCCCGGCCTCTCCAGGCAGAGCTAGGGAAGAAGGGTGCTCCAAACCCTGCACAGCCACTGCTGCCAGACAGTGTCCGGAGCACTGAGCTAGATGGGCCAGGGGTCAGATCCTGCCTCGTGCAGGGCTCTTCCCAGGCTTGGCGAGTTCATTTGTCATGTGCATGTCTGGTCAGTAGGTGGCGCAACTTTACCACACTGAGCTTCCAGCCAAAGATGCACATGCCCAGTCTCTCTCCCCCTCTCTCTCCCCTCCTGTTTTATTAATAACAGTTAAGGAACTGCAAGGGTAAGGCATATTTTCTTGCAAAAGAAATTGGGAACCAATTCTGGTCTAGGAGGAGATGCCAAGTGACCTCATGAGCTCAGCATAGTAGGATACACGTGTGTGGAAATAATTTTGTACAAGTACCAAGTGTGTTCTAAAGAGATTGCCATTATTGATCAATAAAGTGTATTATTTATTTATTTATATTTATTTAAAGCTATTGTAGCCCATCCCATTACCAAAGTCTCGGTGTTATTATTATCTCGGTATTATAAATTATTATTATTACGCTTACAATTGGATTACTACTACTATCAGCAGTAGTATTTTTATGTCTGTCTGTCTGTCTGTCTGTCTGCCTGCCTGTCTAAGGTTTTTCTGGATCATTCTCTTAGCATGCTCTCAGTGGTATCACACTGCGTTTATAGCTGGCCTTTCTTCCTTCTGCAAGGAACGCAAGGCCGCTTACAACATTCTCCCAAGATCCACCTATTCCTGCAACACGAGGGATTAAGGAAACCAAAATCAAAGGAGAACAAAACCCAAAGAATTCGCAGGCGGTAGGGCTGGGTGTAGGGCAAAAGGCTTGGTACGCAATTTTATTTAAAGCTTTAGTAGGCTGTCCCATTACTAGTGTCTCAGAATGGTTTACATCAACGGTTTACAACAATTTTGTCCTGCTTAGTAGGCCCATTGAAATGAAAGGAACTGATGTCAGCCTAACATTGAATGCAACCCATAGTTTTAAATGGGTACTACTGAGAACCAGAAGTGGCAGGGGCTGCCCCAGAAGTGGAATTTTCCCCTAGAAATGTTCATTTTCAAAGCAGCAGGAGTGCATTCAGCTGCCGTACCTGCTGCAAAGCTGAGCCCCCAGCAGGAAGGCACAGCTTTTAATCTGGTGCTGGCTAAGCACCTCCTCCTGTCCATTCCCTGGAGCGATGCGGCATCAGAGCCTTGTGGGGAAATTCGCTTGGCCTGCAGGGCCCAGGTCCCCCCTGCAGGGGGCAGCCATGCATCCTGGCGCAAGCTCTGCCTGCTACATGGTTTGCCGACCAGCCCATTCCTCCATCTTTCCCCTGTTGCAGGAGCAGTTTTACCCCCACGAGGAAGGCTGCCTGAGAGCCCCTCTGAAGGGATTGAGCAGGACATTGGCGCTCACTGTCCGAGACCCTTCTCCAGGCAGGTGTCGTGCATGAAGCCCCGACAGAAACAGTGACTCATGAGGAGACCTTGCACTTGGCACCCAGTGCCCAAGAGTCGACCCCACAACCAACGCAGGGACGGCCGAGCCAGCTGCTGCGTCTTCCTCTGAGCCCCAGCACTGGACCTTTATCAGAGACAGAGAGTCATGAGAAAGAGGAAGCTGCAAGTTCTGCTCAGGAGGAGGCAGAGCAAACTGCCTCTTCCCCCCTGATGCTGATCTCCCTGAGCCAGAAACAGAAGACACAATCGGTGTCCGGTGTCGTGGATTTTTCAAGAGCCCAGAACAGACGTCTTTTACGCCGACCTGAACAGCTGCATAAGAGGGAGGAAAGTTGTGTCTTGGGAGAATGATCCCATGTGGGCTCAGGAAGAGGAGCCATTATAGGGCTGACATCTGCTTAGCAAGGACCCCTATTAGGGAACTTATCTATAGAATTGAAATCTTGTAGACAATTAGCATTAAAGGACTTTGGTTTTATTGCTCTAGAAGGTGTGGAATGTTTACATACCGGGCTGCACCTCTCGACAGCAGGCTAGAAGAGGCAGGGCCTTTTGGGTGAGGGCACCCCACCTGTGGAATGGTATGTGCCCCGTCTTTTCCATGCCAGAGGAAAACCTTTTTATTCCCTCTAGCATTTTAGGATCATTTGGCTATGACTTTGGGTGCTGCTGCTGATTTTAATGTGCTTTGTGGGTCCTGTAACCATTCAATTGCCTGCGGGTGGTTTTTCTGCTTTATTTTGTGCAGGTTTTACTCTTGCATTAATGTTTATGCTTTTTAAGTTATTGTATTCCATCCAGAGGACTTCAGTTATTGGGCAGTTTAAAAGAGCAGTAAATAAAGATCTACACCTTAAACGAGAGCCCAGGTATGTCCAAAGGGGCAGGCGGGATGGCCTAGTGGTCTCCTGGCAATTCTACTGGGAGAAGGATGCCATATCTAAGCCCCGGGTGGAGAGCTGCCTTTTGCTTCCCCTTGTCAGACGCGCGCCAGCTTACTTTTGAATCGGGAAATGTTTCTGTGAAGAAAGTCGGGAGCCAGGAAAGCAGGGTAAAAAAGGTGCTGGCTGCACACAGCTGAGCCACGATCACGGCCCTGGTGATATACATGGGAAAATGCATGGTTAGGTACGCATGTGCAGCCGGTCCTCAGGGTATGTCCAAACATCATACAAAGCATTGCAAGCGCACCAAGCAAGTGGAAACCCCAGAGGGCCAGTAGCTCAAGGACGGAGCACAGGCATTTCTGGTGGGCGATCCCACCCACAGTCCCTGCCATGGCTGGCAAAAAGGGGATTCGGTCATAATATGGACGGTCGCCCCATTTTCTGGGGATTCTTGTCACCTCCCTTTAAAGTAACCTATGCCAGAGGACATCACCAGCATGGCTTTGCATATGTTCTTATATTTTTATATTCAAAAAGCAGCTTAGCCTTCATAAGGACTAGAAACTTGGGGTTTTTTTAACATAAGGAACACCAAGTCTTAAGATACAGTGGTAACTGATCCCTAGCTGTGGTCAGGATTGAAAAAGAAGCAAAGGAAAGCACCTGCAGCTGGAAGCCGTATAAAGGTAAGTCCTTTTGGGACCTTCCCCTCCATCTCCAGAATCAATACATGGAGGGAGAATTCATGGGCTCCCCTTTAGGGTGATGCATGAACATCAGCAGCAAGAAGCAGCAGGCACAGTTCCAATCTCCCCTCCATGCCTGAAGTGTGTGTACCCTGGGGAACATTTCTGAGAAATGCTCTGTCACCATCATTTTTCCTACTATGACTAATTCCATTTATGCATCACTTCCCACTGCAAAGATCAGTCCCAGCACAAATTAGAAATACAGAAATCATCATGAATAGAACAGAAAAACCAATAGAATCCATAATCAGCACCATGAACTCAAGAAAAAATAATTTAAAGTCAATAACATAATAGTTATTATAATAGTGGGATAATAGTGTTTATCCAGCATATACAACATCTCAGCGCGCGCGCACACACACACACACACACACACACACATCCACGCATAGACGGGCTGGAATGAATGCAAGGCACAGGAAAATGTTGAATAAATAATGGACTTACCATACTGGAGCCTTTCTAAATATTTGTTTCCAAGGCACTTTGGTCTGTTTGGATAAGGAGAGGCACTGCATTAAGTCTTCTAATGGGGGGATGATTTCTAGAGCACAAGAGAAACAAGATACCTGCATGTCATGGTTGATAATATAACATGTGAATGTGCCACGGTCTGTATTTGCTTAGGCGGGCTGGTCTGCCCTTCAGACACTGCTCCGTTCACCTCTCGATTCCTACAAGCCTAAATCCTAAGAAGCTAGTTAGGGATGATTTACCAGAAGCAAACCAAAAGCTAGCCCGTTTCTCCCTAGGTTAGGCAGATAGGTGGACAGCCCCAGCTTCAAGTTAAATGCCAAGAGGAAAAAGCATACGGGTAGTTCTCACTGAGGTAATCGATCTATGCCTGGGTTGCACCAATTTATGCTATCATGATGGGCAGAATCTCCCTAGGTCTGCCAGATGGCATCTGAAGGGCCATAGGATTTTTCAGATTCACAGATCTGAGGTCAGCAAAAGATCCTACTGCTTCTCTGTGTTTGTAAGAGAGACCCCAAAGAAGCAATTTGGAGGAGTCCTGGGAGGCAGAGAGGGGAAGAGACTGGACACAGCAAAGGTTAGATGTATCTTCAGCCTCCTTTCTAGTCCCCTCTCCCCCAGACAAAAATCAGCCACCCTGCAGAAGGAATGCAGAGGCAAAGCCTGCTCCACATGGGATGCCCAGCATCCTCGGAGTCCAGGAGGTTGCAGGCAACCCCACCGGATGGCTCCCTAAATTACGTGATTCCATTTAAAGAAACAAGGATACAAGATATCCCTGAACTGAGGAAACTAGGCATGTCAGGTAGAAATCCTAAGGCAGACACCGTCTGCTATTTTTCTACGTTGGTGAGAACGAGCACCACAAGGCCAGCAGTAAAAAAATAAAAAGATTCCAGAAGTCAGCAAACTTGCTTCTAATTATCTGCACAGTGGGAAAGCTCCAATATAAAATGGGTGGGTGGTTTAACGTTTGTTAAGGGTGCATTACTGCGCAACTTTAGGCAGACCAAAAAGGCCGACAACTCTCAGAATGCCCCATCTACCTGGCTGACCAAGGCATTCTGGGCGCTGTAGAACTATTTGTCCATCTAAACTTGCATAGCATTGCACCTTACAGAAATAAAATAAACAATAAAATCTGGTTCCGGATCATGATTGTTGTGCTTTGCAAGTTACAGACAGTTTTTATACACAGTTCATACTGGCAAGCCCCTTCCTCTTGCAAGGGATTCCACTGACTCAAATCCAGATTGTCCACACAGTTTCAAATTAATTAATTAATTAAAACTTTTGTGTGCTGTCCCTTATGCAAGGGATCTCAGGACGACTCACAATCAATAAATCAAAATCAGATACATTAAAAATAGTCAATAAAATCAAATACATTAAAAACAATCTGAGCAATATTTATATTATTTATTTATTAAAACATTTCTATGCCGCCCCATTCGCCGAAGCCTCAGGGCGGCTCACAACATAAATGACATATAATCAATAAAACATGACTGTTACATTAAATACTAATTTTTTAAATACCGATTAAATAAAAAGGTTTTGACCTAGCGCCGAAAGGAGAAGAAGCCCAGAGCCAGGCGAACCACTCCAGGGAGAGCATTCCATAATCTGGGCACCACCGCAGAGAAGGCCCTGCTCCAAGTAGATGCCCTTTTTACCTCCTTCAGGGAGGGGTCTCGGAGCAGGGCCTCCCTTGCTGATCTTAAGGGGGGTGAGGGCATATAAAGAAGGAGACATTCCTTCAGGTATCCTGGTCCCAATGCATGTGATGATGATGAAACGGAGGTTTCATTAGGATACACACACACAGTTTCTCTCTCTCTCTCTCCCCCCTCCCTCCCTCCCTCCATATACAAATATAGCGAGACAAGAGGCATTGCGCATTTCAGGTTATTATGCTGAGCACCACCAGGTCCAGAACAGGAAGGGCAGAAATGCAATGCAAGGAAATATCCATTTACCTTTCTCATTCAGGAGGTATTTGTACATGCAGTAGACCCACAGCAACGTCAGCACGCCTGAGAAGTAGAAGACGCTTTCCCAGCCGTACCAGTCGAGGAGGAGAGACCCGGCGGCCCCCATCACCAGTGTCCTGCCAAGGGAGGGAGAGTCAACATGAGTCATTTGTTTGCCCTTCCATTGCTGAGCAGGGAACCGAAACTAAAGAAGGGAAATGGACCTGGGCAGTCCACACTAGCCTCACGTGCACCAGCTTACAGGAATGGTGCTGGCCTGTGCGCTTGCCGGAAATGCATTGCCCCCTTCCCATCTGTTGTTTGTTTGCTTGTTTGTTTGTTTAAAACTTTTGTATGCCGTCCCTTATGCCTTGGCATCTCGGGATGGCTCACAATCCATAAAATTGAAATACAATCAAATCACATGTATAAAGAACATAATTCAATAAAAATTTACAAAAAGGACAAAATCAAAGCGACTGTTCGACACAATTAAAATATTAATTTTTTAAAATAGTGATTAAATAAAAAGGTTTTGACCTGGCACCAAAAAGAATATAAACTCAGCACCAGGTGCACCTCTCTCCAGGGAGCGCATTCCATAATCTGGGTGCCACCGCAGAGAAGGCCCTGCTCTGGGTAGTTGTTTTTTTTTTCTCCTTTAAAGAGGGCTCCCGGAGCAAAGCCTCTCCCCAGATCTTAAAGGGTGTGAGGGCATGTAAGGGAAGAGGCGCTCCTTCAGTAACGGGGGAATACATCTCTCCAGCTCCTAAGTCTCTGGTAGCCTCCAGGCCTTGGAGAGGGGACTGTGGAGGGATGGGGAGAGCCTCACAGAAGGAGCCCAGGCCTCCACAGGCCGGATTAGACCCGAGAGCTGGAGGTGCCCCACCTCTGATGTGCCTCACCTGCCTGGCTCCATACGTTTGATATCACGAAACACTTGAAGGGAGGAGGAAGAGGGTAATGAGGAGCCAAGATCTCAGGCAAAAGCCATGCTGTGATTTCACACTGATTATCTATGTTCCAGACAAGACTGGAGTGGCAGAGCATTGACTGACTGATTGATGAAGGGCAGGGAAGACGCAGGAGCCGCAGCTGTCTCTTCACCCCCGCGATCCCTGCGGTTTGCTCAGGAAACTCACCCAAACTGAGACCCTGTTCCAATGGTGCTATACGTGAATGCTCTTTCACTCTCCCGCACCTTCCGCGAAAGCAGGCTGGCCAGGGCAGGAAAGTGAACCCCTAATAAAGGACAGAGAAAGGAATCCTGTGACAATTCACAAAAGTTTGGGGGCAGTTCCTCCAGACACTACACAGCCCCTCTTTAACTTAGATCATCTTTGAAGATTTTCTTGAGAAAACGGACACCTTGTAAAGAGAGATTGCATTGTTGGTCGGCATTCATTTGTTAGCAGCTTTCCCTGCAGCAGTTGGACTGTTGTGAACATTCTGTGACGACGCAGCCGCCAAGACTCCGGATAGAACAGGATTGCGGACAACATGCACATGCTGGTAGGGCTCCATATCTTTCTATATAAACTGTTGAAGTGCCTATAATTAAGATGACCCTAAACAGGCAGGCTGCCACTGTGGGCCAAGACTGAGGGGGGTCTCTCCCTCCAGCCCAATACAGAGATGCTTCTGCACTTGGCCTGGATCCTGGAGGTACCAGGGATCAACTGCAGGCAGGGGTGCCTTCACCCTGCTGAACCTGGAGTGCCACCTATTACCATTTCTGAAGACTGGAGATCTGGCCAGGATAGCACACCATGTCTTCATTCCATCGCACTTAGACCAGTCTGATGCAAGTGTCTGGAATCAACAGCTGGACCAGAACAGAACGGACAGGCTGCTAACTGGGCCTGTGACTCCTTTGTTGCAGGAGTGGGAAATCTTAAGCCAAGCAGCCGAAAGCAGCACTCCCGGGGCCAACCCCAACTCCCCACAGCCCACCACATCCTCGACGCCTCCAAGGCCCCACACTTGCCCTTCCAACCACAGTTCATTCGATGGTTTCCCAGTTATAATGGCATTCTCCCTCCACCACGCACTGTGTCAGGATCTGGGCTGCTCTGGCGCTGGCTCTGGAACCAGAACAACTACCACTGTATTCACAGGATCAATCGCAGGCATTGCTGGAGCTCTCGTTCTACTGGCAAGCACCAGCTGGGAGTTCTGGGAGAAGAACTGTAAAAGAGCCGGCTCTTCCCTCCAGAACTGGCCTCAGCAGCATGGGTCTTCTTGCAGTGCCCGTACCTTGCTGGACTGCCTCTACCTGGGTCTCCTGCCTTACTATGTTGCCTCTGCAGCAGAGGCCCTCCTGTTTGCTGCTGTGCCTGCATCCTGCCTGGCCCTTCCTGTTCATGCTCCTGCATCTTGTCATGTTGCCTCAGCATCACAGGTTCGCCTGTCTGCTGCTCTGCATGCCTCTTGCCTGCCTCTTCCTGCTCCTGGGTCCTGCTTTTCCACGTTGCCTTGCTGTAGCGCCTGCCCCTTGGCTGGCCTATATCTAGCCTCACCTGCTTACCCTGCCTTGCTGTGTTGCCTCTGTAACTCAGGGCTTCCTGCGAGCCGTGGAGCAGGTCCTGCACCTTGCCTGCCTGGCCCTTGCAGCATCTGGCTCCTGTTGTCTTGTGTATGATTCATTCATTCATAAATTTACATGCTGCCCGCTAATCCAGAGGGATCCTTGCTGTGTCGTGTATTCTGCCTGCCCTGTTATCCTGCCCTAGGTGTCTGCACTCTTCCGATGCTCCTGGTTCTCGACCCTTGCCTTGTTCCTGACCAGGTCCTTGTTCTGCCCTCATGCACTCTTCTGGTTCCTGACCTCCACCTGTACCATGACTGTGATTTGGACTTCCCATTAACTCCTGCTTTTGGACTCTGTCCTGTCTGAAGTTCTGTTGCCTTGGTCCTGGTTCCTCTGTTGCTTGCGCCTTGCCTTATCTCTGGCTGCCCACATCCCAGCCCTGGACCCTGATGCACTGGGTGTGATGCCTCTTCTAAAGCTTAGTCACCAGCAGTAAGACCATGAAGGGAAAAGCAACTGGAAGTTTTGGTATTTGGCCCCTCCCCTTTTGCTGCAGCCCCATCCACCCCAAGAATGCCGCCCCCAAGAGCTTCTCTGAATTTAAATTTGGCTCCAGGGCTGGAAGAAGCCCCCCACCCCACCCCCAGCACTGCTTTGGCCGTCCATTCACTCACCCCAACTTATTTCTGAGCAAAATGCAAAGCGCTTGTGCTCAGCTTTACAGCTCATCAAAGCCTGGGAGCAGCGCTGGTTTCTTCTGCACGAGTCTGCCAAGACCACACCAGAGGTCCTCCTGCGTAGCCCAGGAGGGTGCGTTTTCAGTGCTCAGGCTCTGGCTGTCTGTGCCTCCCTGGAGCTTGCCTAGATGGCTAAATGCTCTCGTTTCAAAGGGCCTGAGGAAGCTGGATGACACTAATTGGCTGATCCTGTTTCAGCTCGCTGCACTGAATTATCTGATTGCTGGAGGACATTTAATGGTTTGAATGGCTTCCTGTCTTTCTCCTATTCTGCTGTCTGGACTTGGTGTTTTTAATCATCTGTTGTTAGTCCACTTGCATCTGCCCCACTTAGAAAAAACACACAGAGGGGAGGGCAGCTGACATGATCTTTCCAAGCTCAAGTGCAGATGGAGACAAAATGTCCCAGCAGATGCCTTCAAGCTCTGTTAAAAGCATACAGTCCGGTGTATTTATGGGCAGCTAAGACAGCAGAGAAACAACTCTGTTCTGTCTCCCCTCTGTGGCCCAGTGGAACTTTTTGACATCGTCTGGGATCTATTCCATGCTGACCTGAGGCCCACCACCACGTATTTACTAAAATTGCTTGCATCCCCGAGAACCTGGACTCCAACCGTGCAGACTCAGGCAAGTGGCCAAAGGACTGCCCGATCAGGTTTCCTGGATGAGTTTCAGTAGGTACAACCCAAGAATGTTGACAAGGCGCTTGGGCAATGTTTTGCTATGTGCAAACATATCCTTCCTGGAGCCCTGTGCACCCACCGCCCTCGCCTTGTACAAACTAGCGAGGAGGAAACATTCAGCTGGGCCACGGAGGAGATGAATGCCTCCTTGCCAGAGGGAATGATGCCAGGCCACCTGGAAGGTGCAGCAGGGGGACCGCTGCTGGGGAAGCCCTGCCTGAACCCAGGAGAGCTTGGCAACTCTTGGCTGGTGGCAAATACCCCTGCTCTGGGGGGGCCCCCGAGTGGGTGCTGCCCAACCAGCTCCAGGCCCTCTCAGGTGAGCCTGGCGACCGGATCCATTGCAGCCGGGGGTCAGGCTGGGTTTGGCACAAAACTCATCCCAGGCACCATCAGGACGCTGTTAGTGGGTGCTTCTTCTGGCTGGATGGAAGGCGATCGGCCTGCACTCAGCCCTTGGGGACTCTCCTAAAGCCACCCGTGTCACTTGAGGCTTGTGGCCACAGGGGCATGGAGTACCACCCACCCTGCCCTTTTTAAAATGGGCTGGACCACGGGTCCTCAAACTGCGGCCCGTGGGATGGATCCAGCCCGCCGTGGCCATCCATCCGGTCCACACCGCCGTTCCCGCGTGCACGTTTGCTGCACGAGCAGGGAGGTGGTGGCTCGCTCGCTCGCCCGCCCGCCCGCTCGGAGGTGGTTTTGGACTCACTGGGAGATCTCTGAGCGAGCCACCGCCCCGCATGCCCGATGCCACCTCGCTGGCCCACACCCCCAAGCACCCCAACCTCACCGGCCTGCAGCCCTTCCACTGGCCCCCTGTTCAAAAAGTCTGAGGACCTCTGGGTTGGCCTCTGCAGAGGACTCTTTCCACAGCAAGACTTTCCTGCCCCCCCCCCCGCTTCCCTGGAAATGCCCCTCCCCCGGGAGTTGGGAGATCCCAAGGAAGACCAGGATGTGATGCCAGGGGTGGCAGTGGGAGGGGCGGAGTTCTACTGGTGCAGCTCTGGACCCCCCATGGGGTCCAGCCCCCATGGGCTGGGTTGAGACAGCACCTTAACCTCCACTCAAGGGTCGAGGATGGATCGTTGCTGAAATATAGGCGATCGTGTTGCCCGGAAATGTCTGAACTAACAAGTCTCGGCTCGTCCACCATGAACAACCCCTGAATTGCTTTTGTGCACTGCGGCTTCTTCAACATAGTTTATCTTGGTTGGGTTTCAATAACACGGTAACTCACATTTCATGAGCAACCTGCAGTTCTAGGGCAACCCACATTCATCCCATATGCAGCCCTTGAGTTGTCCAGAATCAGTCACTGTCTTTATAAAAAGGATTCAGCATGAAAACATTGTCAGTCTTCACTGCTGATATCTTGCTCATCCTGATTCTGAATCTCGGAGTACACGTTGATTTTAACAGGTTCAAGAGGGAATCTTGTACCAGCGCTGTGCAATTGCCTCCTCTGAGCATCGCAGCTACTAAGGGCACTGAGGAATCTTTCACAGGCATGAATGGACTACAGCCCCACCACTGTCCCCGTTTCCTGCCTCCTCTCAGAAGCAGATCTCCTTACCTTGCAAGAGCCCCATTAGGAACCGGGAGATGGTCATGAGAACCAGGTGAGCAGACCCAGGATAGATGAGCAGAGGGGAGATGGCAGTGATGGACCCCCAGGCAGATGCGGAGAAGAGCAGGACTTTCTCTCCTCCTATCCTGGAAGACAGAGGAGAATCAAGATATCGGCTGCAGAGATGCTCTCTGCAGCTGAAGAGGATGTGTTAGTGAAGGAGAGAATGCTCCAAGAGGGACTCGAATGCAGCACATAGGTACCATGTGCCTGAGACTTTAAGATCTCCTGGGCAAGCCCTTCCATCTGCTTCATGGCCATGAGATGCCCATCTGGAGGCCACTCCTTCCCGGAGGCCTCTTGCAGGCTCTGGAACTCCCTGTTGGGTCAGGCCAGGTCGGCCTCTCTGTGTTGTCCTTCCACCAGCAGGCAAAGTCACTTGGAATCAAGGGGACATTTGGCATAAAAACTGGTCTGTTACAGAATAGGGTTTTAATTTGGTTAGTCCTGTGTATTTATTTTATAGCCATGTTTTGTGTTTTTTAAATAATTAGATGTCATGTTTATTCTAAGCCATCCTAACTCTTAGTACCATTTTCATTTGGGGAACAAAGAAGGCTTGATTGATTCACTTTGTGAAATACAAGCTCGCCACATTTCTCTCTTCAAGAGGTTTCAACAAATCTACCCTTGGATTCCAGCAGTTCCACAGGCAGCAACTGTCAACAGAACTGAGCAGTGCAGAGCTGAAAATTAATTTATGCCTAGCAATTCTCCTCTGCAGTATTGCATGCTGGTAAAACTGAGAACGCTCAAGTTCAGAAGTCAGCTTTCACATTCAAGATGCAAACTCATCCAGATACTAGTCAAAATTTTGAGTGATGAAACAAAAAATGCTGGAGAATTCTGAATAGTTGTGAATATTGACATCAGCACGAGAGAGATAATACAGTAAAATTCAGCATTGTCCATACCGGTCACTCAGGTGCCCTCCAAGAATTTGCGTTAAGCAATAGCCCCAGAAAAAGCTACTCAGCACAATGCCAGACTGTTTCTTGTCCCAGTCAAAGTGAGCACTCATGGCAACTACACAGATGGGCATTGTCACCCGTGCGCAGTACAGCAAGCAGGTTCCAAGTAGCAGCATCAAGGTCCATATCCGAGACTCAGGCCTGCAAACATGAAAAGAATATTTGTTGTCGAATATTTACTTGAGCATGTGTGTGCCTCCTTAAGAAGAAATGACATAATATAGGCATGGAATTTGGCATAAGGTATAGAAAACACAGCTTTTGTGTTTTATTTTTAAAACAGAGCAAGTTTCTAGTCCTTAAGACTGCAAAAAAAAAAAGTCTTGATAATATGTGGACAATGCCATAAGAGCAAGGAATGTGGGATTTAAAGCAAATAAATGAAAACTGTGCTTCTCAAAGTGGTGTGCATCCAGTACCAACCTGCACAGCCGTGCAGTTGAACCATAGAATAAATCATATGAAGTTCTGATTAGAAGAAACATTTGGGTGAGTCATGTAAAAGTGGCCACACAAACAGAGCACAACAAATAAACAGACCCCCTCTACCTATGTCTGAAACCTTGAAAGGCAGGAAATCTGGACAGTTGGAGGGCAAGCTGGATCTACTATTTAAAACTCTGTCTGGACCACTCCCTTTCATAACCGGCCATATTCTGAAGGACTGTCGCTCGTCTTCCTTGCTGAGGTTAATCGGGGCTATGTCTGGCAGGTACCTGTAACCGGGGTAATCTAGGAGGGCAGGTACACTACCCTGAATTCCAACACAGAAGAAAAGTTTATGACATCTGATGGTGCACTTCTTCTGACCATGCATTCAGTCCTTTGATCAACACTGGAGACCCTCTTGGGAGGGAGGCCTGAAGGATGGCAACAAGACGTTCTTGGCGGGAGTCCCCCAGCTGCAGAATGACCTCCTTGCTGAGGTTTGCCATCTTTTCAGGGCCAGGTGAAGACTTACCTCTTCCTGCGGGCATTTGATTGGCCATTTCTATCAGTTGCTTTTATCAAGTCCCAGTATCTAGCAGCCTAAATTGCATTTAAATTCTGTACGTTACCCATTTTATACAGACTGGGTTCCCTATGCCAATCGGGCTAATACACCAGGGATGGCTTGTCATGTTGTGTGGACCCAGCCAGAATAGTTAACAAGCCACAGCTGCAACGTTCCATGTGAACCCAGCCACAATGTCAGCATTCTCTTGTATTTGCAGGTTGCAGTTCTTCTGAGCTGCCCAATCTGCACTGGCTATTGGGAGATGAGTGAATATCAAGGCAAAGGGATGAATATTAAAGAACAAGCCAAGAAGACCCTGATCAAAGCCTTTCTTGCAGGTCTTAATCACCAGGTAGATTGATAAGGAGACTAGCTTAGCAGGCTCAGTGTGCATTTTGATGCTTGAAACGCTTCCCAGGCATCCATCACACCTACGGGAACATCAGCATCATCCTCAGCTGCAGATGAAGCGCAGAAGCCGAGGGCACGCAGAGGGGAGATTTGAACCAGGAGCTGTCCGAGTTACAGCTTGATTCCTTGCCACTGCTCCTGCTAGCTCCATGCTAGCACAGCTATCACACACCCCGCACTTGTTACACCCCGTTAGAACCAGATGACATAATGCGGCTGGCACAGACTTGGCAGCTTCCCTCCAGGGCCTGAGCGAGTCTGACTGGTCTCCTGTTCCAGAGCAGTTCCGCACAGTGTCAAAGACCTTCAAAAGACCTGCCATTCACCTGTCATTCTGAACGGAGCTGGCACAATTGACCCAGCTGTGGAAGGATTAGCATGCTGACAATTTCTTAGCATGACTCCCAAGCCTTCACATGAGACAGAAGGAAGAAAGCTCTGTCTTTCTTCTGCAGACCCAAGAGATAAGCGTTCCAACATTTTTAACTGGGAAGCATTAAACTCGTATAGCCAAACCCCATATTGCATCGGCTATTTTTGAACAAATTATCCAAGATCAATTTCATTTTCAGCGTTTGAGGTCCTTCTTCAAACCCTGAGTTCCCCACTGAGAAACCCTGCAGGGCTAGAGGCATTCCACTCAACTCTCTGAGTAGCCCCATTTGTTTTTAATGGGGACTTACTCCATCCCAGACCACAGGTCCTAAATCTCAAGAAAAACAGTTCTTACACATAGATCCAACTGTATTATTCCAATAAGCACAGGTGCTATCTTGCCAACTGAAACTAGGTGCTGAAATCTGCACAAGAAAAGAATCCAACCAAAGTTACATTTATGCAAGAAAGTCCGTGTAATATTTGTACAACCTGTTGCACAAGTCTAATGCGCAAGCACTTTCACAATATGCTGAAAGAGGATCACTTGGACCAGAAACAGGGTATGAATCTTCCATATCCAGGAGCAGAACCTTCAGCCTCCAGGCCAGATAAAAGGAAAGATTTTCTCATTCAGTCTGGCCCTTTAGTCCATTGCTCCCACCCCTTTGTCATGGAGGTGAAAGCAAGGATCTCCGTGGAGAGGAGAAAAGAGCTTTTCTTTGTAGGGCAAATGGGGTGGTGCAAAGAACACACAATCCAACTAATTCCCAGACCACTAAGAGATCACAACGAAACTAGCCAGGGCTGCTGGGAGTTGAAGTCTGACAGTATCTGGGAGGGCCACAAGTTCTCCACTGTGGTCATTCCTGTGGATATTTTCTATGAACCAATGCACTGTTCTTTTCCTTAGGAGAGAAGGTCACTCCATAAATCAAGAGCACTGAACTTCAAAGACAAATTCAGCCACTCAGGTCTATCTCACCAGAAGTCCGGACCCCCTTCTTCTGGCCCCACCCTCTTTCCCCTTTCATTTGGTGCTTTCTCAGCTTCTTCACGTGCCCCGCTCCACTGATTCTAAAATCTGTTTGCAAATTTGCATCTCCTAAATCTTGGTTGCCAGCAAAAAGAGGCATAAAGGAACATATGCAGGTATCTGTGGCCCCACCTCTTTGCCTTTAACCCCACCCCTTTCGCCTTCAGCTTTGCCCACAGGGCTGCAGTCCCTGAGATTTTGTTCAAAGCAGAATTTGGGACTCAGCCGGAAGTCATTCTACATCCTGCCATAAATATTGCTGGATCTCAGCCCTCAAGGTGCTGGGATGGACTCTGCACTGTTTGTAAGAGCATCTTCCCACCTTCACAAACACAAATACATGTTAACAATTAACTAATCACACACAGAAAAATCCTGTCCTGAGAATTATTAACCAAGTCCTGGCCACACACTCAAATGATCCCTGGCATCTTTCAGACTCAGCCTAAAGATGAATATGACTTCAGTGCAAGTAACAAAAAATCTGCTACGCTGACAAAAGCACTATTTCAGTGTGTGTGTGTGTGTGTGTGTGTGTGTGAAAGGCAGGGAGAGTGACTGATACAGCTTCTTCTCTACTGTTATGAACTGTCATTCATTCTTAGCCACACTTCCAAGATCTGATTCAGACAGGTGTGTGTGCCATTATTATTATTATTATTATTATTATTATTATTATTATTAATTACATTTCTATGCCGCCCCTTGCCGAAACCTCGGGGCGGCTTACAACATGATAAAATACATTGAAATACAATAGTACATAATAAATTACCATTAAATATAAAAATACAAAAAAATACATTGATTTACAAATACAAAATTAAAATTATCAGTATAAAATAAAAATATAGGAGGAGAAAGAGAAGGAAGAAGAAGTTGCCCAGGCCAGATCATATGTTTTAACAATTGAAATGATGTTTAAATAAAAAGGTCTTTACCTGGCACCGAAAAACCAGTAACGACGGTGCCAGGCGGACCTCTTTGGGGAGTGAATTCCATAGGTTGGGCGCCACCGCAGAGAAAGCCCTCCTCCGGGTACTTACTCTCCTAATTTCTTTCATGGAGGGTTCCCAGAGAAGGGCCTCTCCCGCAGATCTCAAAGGGCGGTCGGGCATATATGGACGTAAGCGCTCGTTCAGGTAGCCAGGACCCAAGCCGTTTAGGGCTTTGTAGGTCATAATCAACACCTTGAATTGGGCCCGGGCTTCAATGGGAAGCCAGTGAAGCTGATGGAGGACTGGAGTCATGTGAGCATAACGCCCCGTCCCCGTCAGCAACAGCACAGCAGAGTTGGGGAAAAAACTTCAGCAAAAATGTCCAGTTTTCCAGCTGATCAAGAAAGTAAGAGAGTGCCAGAAAACTGGATTCAGAAAATGAGATACTAAATGTAAGTAAGAGGATAGCTTTTATTGGACCAATTCATCCATGTATATGCCTATTTGCACCTCAGGTTTTGACTATTTTCACACTGAACTTATTCCTTTTCCTAGGAGACTTTAAAAATATAGATTGGCAATGCACACCAATCCAAGTATGTGGGCAGGAAGTAACAATGCAAGAATATTCCATATTACCGATGCTAAAGACAAATCCTTAATATATATATGAAGTGCTAAAGCATCCAAAAATAAGAGAAGGTCCTTGCTATACTGCCACTTTACAACTGGGTTAGCAGTCATTATCCCTTCTCAATATGGCACAGGAAAACTAAGATTTTTATTAATTATTGCATTACATTCATATTCTGCCTTTCTTCTGCTTACAGGGAGGCAAAGACAACTTATACAGTTCTCCTCCTTCCCATTTTATCCTCACAACAACAACCCTGTGAGGTAGGCTGGGATGAGAGTCCATGACTGGACCAAAGTCATCCAGTGAGCTCCATGGTTGATTGGAGACCAGAACCCAGATCTTCCACATTCTAGGCCAACACTAGCCCCTACACCACACTGGACCTCAAAATGTGAACGAGAAATACTATTTTATTTTATTTTATTTTATTTTATTTTATTTTATTTTAATTTAATTTATTTATTTAATTTAATTAATTAATTAATTAATTAATTAATTAATTAGTTTATTTATTTATTTATTTATTTATTTAGGGAACTTCTATGCCGCCCCATTCACCGAAGCCTCGGGGCGGCTCACAACCATAAATAAATAGAATCCTATAAAACAATAGAAATTAAACTGTCTCGGGGATGGCAGAATACAGACCTCCAGTTGTTTCAGATTGTACCTCCTGGCATTCCTGATGCCTGGCCATGCTGTCAGAAGCTTCTAGAAGCTGAAATCCTAAACATCCTAAGATCTATTTTCTGCCCATCTCTGTTAGCCATTCACCTGAGAGATATTTACACAAAAGTAAAGATTATTCCCCCTTCATCTTTACAATAAAATAAAAGACATTCAGTACCTCTTCAAACTATTATTTTTATGCTCTTTAGCAGAAGCCAGGACTGGTAAAATGGAACAAAATAGATACACATTTGTAGTGTAAATTTCCTAATGCTTTCAGAAAATTCTCTGGCTTGAACGCTTTTCAAGACTGTTCATTTTTCCAGTCCTGACCAAGTCTGCTGATATGAGGCTGAAATCAGAATTTGCCTCCATCATATAGAAGGGCTTCTGATCCAATGGAGCACTTCTGTTGGATGAATGGGTGAGCGGGGTGAATTTAGCTGATTCCTTGTGCCCCTTCATTTCCATGTGTGTGTGTTTTTGCCTGTGTGTGTCTCCACTGCTGCTCTCCAGGCCTGGAGAACCCTCTGGCTAAAAATGCCACTCATTTGCTGAACTCTGCTAGGGTGTGTGTGCGTTTGTCTGACACAAACACACAAACCAGACACAACACAGACACACTTACACCGACGGAATGCGGCACCCGGGTCGCCAGCCAAAATTACAGCTTTAACTGCTTTCACTTGGGTCTCAGGCCTACCTTTGCCAAGCAAGCAAGTTTTTGCCAAAAGAAACCCAGTGCTTGTGGAAAGGACCCGATAAAAGTGGTGTGAATAAACTGCTTGGAAAATAGTACACTCTGTGTGTGTGTGTGTGTGTGTATGTGTCGTGTGGGGAGGGGGAACATTTTGGGTGGCAAAGCCAGCTTTCTCCTTTTAATTATAGCCTTTAAAAAGACCTCTCTGTTTGTAAAATAGGGTAAGGAAGGTATCCAGACTGAACAGGAATACCCGTTTACAAACTGAACCACAAGTAGCACATTTCATGGGGAAGAAAAATGACCCAAGTTTTGCCAGGCTGGCATTGTCTCTTTCTAATTTTGATGTTTTGTTCCTGCCTCACTATACTTCGTCACAGGCCTTGGGTCTCGTTGCTGTCCTACCTTATAGATGGGTTCCTAATCCAAAACAGCTGCAAAACAGAAATGACAGGTCAGAAAACAGAGAGAAATCCAAGGCCCAGGCCAGCTTTCCGGAACCTGGTGACCTCCAGATCAGGGGGACTACAATTCCCAACATTCCCAGACAATGGCTATGTGGGATATAGGCTATCCCCCATCAAGCATGACTTTTTGCTACAAAGACAGGACACACAGGGCAGTATTTACAAACAAACCTAGCATCAAAAATGGCAACATCTATGCCCCAGCAGGAGAATCCAACCTCCCAAGAAACGGAGGTATTTCCCTACCTGCTGAGTGGAAAATTGTTGTTCTTCATCTACTTCAAAGAGGGACTCCAGCATGAAATTGCTGGAGTAGATTTTATCAGCCACTTTGACTTCATTCATTAGTGTTTCATTGAGGGAAGTGACTTATCTCCTGGTGTTAAATCAACAGCGCTCAGAAGATAACATTATCACTAAATACTGCTAATGTGTATAGACATTTTTACCTCCTGTATGGTTGGGGTAAATACAGAAACACACACATTATCTGCTCATTTTGCCCTCATTTTCAGTTTTTCCCCAGCTATTCAGCTGCTTTTCCCAGCATATTCACATGAGTATCTGCCAAGGGAGATAGCTAGGTTTCATGCAAGTTCATGCATACATTCCACCACAGCCGAATTCACACGTGCAGAATCTACTTCCCAGTATCTGCATTCCCCAGATCTGCTAACTGGATCCTGGGGGCAAAAGAGATCCAGTGAGAATTCTGAGCCCAGGAACTTGTGTTGAGCAGCAGAAGTGAACCTACAGATCCTTCTACGTTTCTGCCTATCCCAAACTTTCCTTTCACATAATGTGGTGAGAAGGGACTCTGTTGCTGCCGCTGTGGAGAGTCAGGAATCCTTGCCAATCTTTTGCTAATCCTCCATGCAGTCATCAGATCACTTTTGTTCTAGCTCATAAAACCTTGCAGTGCAAGAACTGCGTCAGTCCTGGAAAGGTCACAAGCAACTCCATCATTTTCTGCCACGGATCAACACCCTCCATCATTAAGACTCAAGGCTATTCACAACATTGCTGGTAGCTGATCTAACATTTCATCAAATAATACTGACCAGCCAGTCACGGAAGGGGGAGAAGGAGTTGGAAAAGTCCCAAACAGAACAAATGGGAAAGCAACCCAAGGGGGAGAAAGCAGGAAGCCAGCTTTTCAGTCCACCATGCCAAAGAGTTACTAAAACAAGTGCATCTGATTTGAAAGTTTGGCTTCCCAAGTTAGCTGAAGGACACACACACACACACACACACACACCCCCCACCCGCCATGGAAGCCACAGGGTCTCACCTGGACCAAAAGGAATCGGCTACTCCGTCTTTTTTCATGCCTTCATCATGATGCTGAGGATGCGAGCCTCTTGCAGGCTGGAGTTTCTGATGCTTTGGGTGGTAGAGGGAGAGCCGCACAGGCCCATTCACCTGCACTCCATTTCTGCCGACACTCAAGGCCATTCAACTTGCAGTTAAAAATAAAATAACAGAAATTAACAAGAAAAGGGTGACGCTCTCCAGCGCACCGGCTGTGCCATGCAGCCACATCTACGAGGAAGTGAGATTGTCCCCAGAGGTCTGGAGGTCCCCGAGGCGGTGGGGCAAAGGAATGGGGCAGAAGGGGACGAGAGATGCTGAAACGCTGGGTGATATCTTCCCACCCCGGGCTAGCTGCCTCGCTGACTACCTCCTTCTCTGAGACGTCTCTGGGTATCCAAGGCAGAGGCGAAGCCGGGAAGCCGCACAGCTCAAGGACCCAAGCCTCGTCGCCCAGCAACATTTAATCGCGCACGCCGCAACATCAACCGGCCCGCGGCTGGATCCGGCGGAGCGATCTGCAACTCGGGTGGGAATTTTCTCTCTCTCTCTTTGCAATAAACCCAAGTCCACGTGTCACTTTTTTCAGCGTCTCTTCCTGTTTGGGTCTCTTTCCAGGAAGTCTCGCGTCTCAGCCGCGCCAGTGCGAGTCCGCTGCAGGGGCGTTTGAAAGAGAGAGGGAAACTGACAGGAGGCATGCAGACACGGGCATGGAAATCGCCCTCGGGGGCGAGCTTTCGAAACCTCGGACCGAGCGGATGCAGGTTCGAGGCTCCTGTGAGCGTCTTGGGGAGCCGATGCTTTTGATTCTTTGCTCGTGGTATCGGCGAAGAGTGCTGTTGAGCCCCGAAGCTGACACCGTTTCCCTTCTGTGGTCCATGCCATTCGAGGAAGAGGCTGGTGGGAAAGGACAGCCCTTGGTGCTGTTGGTCATGTTTATAAGGGAGTAAGCCCACGAAGGTTTCCATTTCCGATGAGTGTGCGTGAAAGGATTCCAAGAGACAGCCAGCAATTGTTTAAATCACCCAAATCACACAGTTCCTATTCAAGCCCGTTTTTAAAGGAATCCAGAGTTTTGATAGCTAGCTGCAAAACCGCTTCTCTCCTGAAAAGGGGGGTGGGATTTCCCCCTTTTGCATTTTTCCCAGCCATTCATGGCATACAAGCAAAGTTGGTGATAAACATTCTGATGGGAACTAAAGTGGACGAATTTTGCTGCGAAGGAACGGCACGTTTCCAAAAACACCCTTTATGCCCATTGAGTTTCTTTTGCCAACTCACCTTCTGTGAATTGCCAAGAAGAAGCCAACTTGGGAAAATAGATTTGGCACCCAGCTGGGGCACTCTCCATTGTCCCAGCTGAGGATTCAAGACCCCTGCAGGCATGAAACGGCAATAAAACTTTTTAAAAATACTTTTGTGCGCAATGCTGTGTACAATTCAAAATAATGATTTGGGGGCACGTGTTTTTCAAGGGTGGGCAAACACGGGCAGCCCTTCTGGAGTGCTCCTGGGACACCTTGGAGGGCGGCTTATAGCTGTCAAAATGATGGAGATCCACCTTTCAACCCCCTTCCAAACAAAAAAATATCCAAGGGAAGAAAAGCAGCAGCAAGACAAAAAGCCGCTTGCAGCGGCAGCAGTTGGTGCAGAATAATTTGGTGCTTCCACAGTCTTTGCAGCAGCAGCAGCAGCAGCACCCAGGGGGAGAGGGCGGCCAGTAGCCCAGGGGTGCCCAATCCTCAAAGGTGCTTCACCCACGCTATGGGGCTTGTGTCGCCATGTGGATTTCCGTGTGGTGCAAATCTACCTAGTTTTAACTGCTCGTGCCCTGCACAATTGCTGATAGCAAAATATCCTGATAGTATTTGAGTCAATTAACGCATCTAGCGTGATTAAAAAACAAACAAACAAACTCGAGCATTATGTAAGCCTTTGGCAATAGAATTCAGCCTGCAGATTCATTGCAACTCAGCCATCATCAATTACTTGCCCTCCGTGATCTTGCAAAGTCATGCAAGGGTGCCTAGGGAGGTTGAAAAGTTTTCCCTGCTGTTGTTGGAATTTTCACTGAATCATAGAATAGTAGCATCGGAAGGGGCCAAAAGACCATCTGATCCCAGGCCCCTGCTCAGTGCAGGACTCTCAGTGCAACTATCCCTCTCTGAGGGCTGTCCATCTTTGTTATTTTTGATGTTGGATTTGTGCCTATTTATTCTGCTCCATGGAAATTGGACTGCTTATGCTGTTTGTGATCCAAATAAATGTTACCAGATGCAGGGCAAAACAGAAAATGTAGGGGCCTTCTAAATTAAGCTTTCCCCTAGTCTTGATTTAATCTTATTCAAGACATGGTGAATGCGGTTTTGTGTGTGCAAAAGTAACTGAAAACAATTTTTGGGCAACTCATTTTAGACATGTGAACATTCATGAAGGTTAGAACACAGAAATTGATTGCATATTCCTGAGTACAAAACTAGAGATTCTGCCTAAACATTAGACCCCCTTAAGGAAAAAAAAGGTTGATCAGTCCTAGATGCAAATAACGGTGCAATTCTATGCATATCTTACAAAAAAACAAGGCCTTGCAACTGTAAGCATTTCCCCACCCCCACCCCCACTCCCAAAAGAACATAAGGGTGCACCTTAACTGCCACAAATAAGATTAAATGAAAGAAATTACTTCTGGTCACTGAAAAGTGCAACAGAAGTAATTAACATTTAAAATATGTAACCCTTTTCCTGTGTTCAACTACCTACAGCTTATAGTGCACTTTTGCTTTTTAAAAATCCAGTTTATTGAAAATGTGTTTTAAGAACTGTGTTAGTTCCATACATGTTCTTCATCACCCTCTCCTTTTAAACCTGGAAACTATTATTCTAATCTAGTTGTAAGTGTTCCAGAGGAAAGGAAAAAATAGAGGATGTTTTTGTTTTGTTTTGTTTTTGCACGATATCATATCCTATAGGGCATCATTATAAGAGGGGGAAGAGATATTTTTACTTGCTCATGAACAAGTTAAATTACAGGGCCACCCTCATAGTTAAGCTTAGCCTTTCATTTGTCTTTTAAAAAGAGCAGAGAGCTGAAGCCACTGCATAATGATAGCCTTTTATGCAGTAGTCGAAAAGACATCGGTCAGTATCTTATTTAAACAATCACATAAATTGCATTGTGCTCATGTTAAGAGACCTCTGACTCAGAGGTGCATCAGCCTGCATTATTTATTTATTTGATGTGTATCCTGCCTCCCCCCCCCCCGCAGTAGCTTAAATAATCCTCCTTCCCCCATTTTATCTTTACAACAGCCTGTAAGGTAGGTTCAGTAGAGAATCAGTGACTGACCCAAAGTCACCCAGTGACTTCAGGGCTGAAAGGAACTAGGACCCCAATCTCCCGAGTCTCAGTCCAACAGTCTAACCAGAGTGTTTGGGAAATCCAGCTAACTTGACATTACATTAGGGCTGCTTTCCAAGTGCAATGTAATTTTTTGCATTTAGTAAAGTGCTAGTATAAAATAGGATAGTGCCTGTTGACACTAGTGATGTTGCCTTTTACAAAAACTAAGAGGGTGTTATTTTAATTCCTGTGCACCTCTCCTTGGCTTCTGAAGAGCTGTTTCGGTATGTGCCTATGGCATAAAATAGCAATCCACTCCTCTGAAATGGATGGGTTGTTGGGCCATGCTGGTACACTGCAAAAAGCCCATCATCCTTTCTCACTTTTACATGACTTTCATAAGTTGTGCAGCATGGTGTGTAAACCTGGGCTCTTGGCTCATTTAGCCCCTGAGCAGGCCAAAGGTCTGGGTTTACACATACGTTGTGTGGTCAAGTGGGAAGGTGCCAAGAAGATATAGTACTACTACAATTTTGACTAAAATGGTAAACACTGATTTGAAAGATGTATGAAAAGAGTTAAAGGAAAAAGGATATACATTTTATTCTTCAGTTCGTAAGATTTGAGGATAGATTATATCTTTGTGTCTAATGATTTATCTTGAGTGTGTAACTCAGATATAGGTTTGATAAAAGTGACTGATCACGCTTTGGTAAATACGGATGATAACATTAAAGGTGATTGATTATAAAGAAGTTAAAAGATGGAAAATGGATGTAAATATTTTGGAATATAAATATATAACTGATGGAATGAAAAAAATTAAAAGAATTATGGGAGATTAATGATAGAGAAGGTAGTCAAGAAAGCTTGATCTGGGATACAATGAAAGTGGTCGCAAGAGGACTAAGTATTAAAGCAGCATATAATTTAAGAAGACAAATAATTAAACTTGTGGAAATTTTGGAAGAACAAATAAAAGAATTGGAGAAAAAGTATATAGAAAACAGGAATATAAATAGTTTAACGGTAATTCAGAACTGCAAGATATTGAAACTGAAAAAATAGAGAATATACTTAAAAAAGGAATATTTTGAATTTAGTAATAAGAATTATTACTTTAATTTAATTTAATAAGAATTATTACCACACAACAAAAGCTAAAAAATCTATCTATCTATCTATCTATCTATCTATCTATCTATCTATTTATTTAAAGTTTGTATATGCCATCCCACTAGTAAAAGTCTCTGGATGGCTTACAGAAAAACAAAAAGCAAACCATAACAACAATACACAACACACTGCATCCGATAAATAATAAAAGCAAGGATAAAACAATTGGGTTACTTAACAATGATAGTAGTAAAAGGTGCAACTAAACAAAGAAATTAGGAATAATTTTTTAGATTTTTTTCTAAGTTGTACGCAAGAGGAAAGTTGTCATATGTTAAAATTAGATCATATATAAGAAAGAAAGTTGAGGAAAAAACTACAACAAACGGATTGGAAGCTGATGGAACAATTTGTTAGAGAGGAGGAGATATTATTAGTGATAAAAGTAGAAAAACTCCTGGGATAGATGGTTTAGCTCCAAAGTACTATAAAACTTTTAAAAATATGTTGATTCCAACATTAAAATCTTTATTTAATAAAATATTGGAAAGAGGTAAGATGCTAATATCTTGGAAATACTCCTTGACAGTTTTTATTCCAAAATCCAACAAAGATTTGACTGATCCTGGAGCTTCTAGACTGATATCCTGGATTAACCAAGATGCAAAAATATTTACAGCAATATTTGCAAAGAGGATGAGTAATTTTATTGGTAATTATGTTAATGTAGATCAAAGCAGTTTTATAATAGGCAGGCAGATGACAGATTGACTTGAAGAATATTAAATATAATTGAATATATACATAAGGACAATTTAAAAGCTGGTAAAATAGCATTAGAGATTTTTAAAGCTTGTGACTGTATGGAATGGCCAACAATAAAGATATTAATAGAAAAATGGGTGTGGTCCACAATTTAGAAATGTAATAAATCAATTACATGCAGAAAATTTTGCAATGGTGATAGTGAATGATGGTGCAACTGAACACATTTCTCTAGGCCAGGGGTCGGCAACCCACGGCTCCGGAGCCACTTGTGCCTCCTGAATGCCGCTGCTGCGGCTCCGTCACTTGCGTCACAGCCGCCGCCGATCCGCGGCCTGTGCTGGCACAGCAGCGCAATCCGAGGCCCATGCTGGTGACCACCGCTGATCCGAGACCCGTGCCAGCAACCGCCGCCAATCCGAGGCCCGTGCTGGTGACCGCCACCAATCCGAGGCCCGTGCCGGCACAGCGCTTGGATAAATCGAAGAAAAGTTTCTGAAGAAAACCAAACGTTTAATGATACTTGGGTAGATTCATTTGCTTTTACTGCTGATGAACTTATGGGGTTTGCTGTTTAATGCATGCAGCCCTTGAGCACTGACTTTGACTCTTCAGGAAGCTGTTCTCCTATTCAAAATATATGAAAGGAGTCCTACTAGTTTATAATGTAAGATTAAAAATAACAGTTTTTAGTGACTGAACACAAGCTGCAGCTAAATCATAATGAAGATATACATAGCATTAAGGTAAAAAACGATATATGCAGTGTTATCTTCATTTTAGATGTCAAAAGGGTTTTGCGGCTCCTGGTGTTTTCTTTTGTGTGGGAAACGGGTCCAAATGGCTCCTTGAGTGTTAAAGATTGCTGACCCCTGTAAAGGCAAAGATTCCAGAAAATCTCGGATTTAAAACAATAAAATGGAACAAAAAAAGGTAAGGATTCAACCCTGATGACCATAAAGATGTTGCAATAGTGTGTGTGGACAAGATGGTTGAAAGATCAGACTCCAAAGAAGATGCTTAGATTTTGTATGCTTTGAGACAAGGCTATGTTATTCCCATTCCTGGACACATCGAACATTAAGGCTGTTCTTGGTTTAAGGATGGGTGCAATCCTTTATGTGCCTACTCAGAAGTCAGCCGAGCTGTCTTCAGTGAGGCTAACTACCAAGTACAGGATTGTAGCCTTAGTCTAGTAAATGGCATGAGCGTAGATGCAAACCTATGCATTTTTAGAAGAAAGGCCAACATATTCCAGCATGTCCCAACCATCCTGGTTTGAACATGCTGAAAGTTGTAAACCTTTTTCTGTCTCAGTTTGCCTAGGGTTGTATCTTAAATGCCCATGCAAGAGGCATATTTTATACTGCGTTGAGACTTCTTGAGCAGGATGCTCCTGCCAGTGTAATGTGTGTCCAGGGTGAACAATTTGGGTTCATTTCCACTTTTCCCAGCAGTCTTCTGAAACGCTAATCCAGAGAGTTTAGAACAATGTGGAAAATGAAGGGGGAATCAGGAGAGGTTATTTCCTCCCTTCCTTTATGCCTCCCCATGGCTTTACCAACAGGTCCCATCTGACTAATATTCTGTCCACTCCTTTCCTCAGTGATCCCAATACGGATTTTTTCTCCTCCCACCATTTTTACAGATTGCCTTGTATGTCCCACCCCGTTGCTGGCAACAAAAATGATCTATATCAGGATTGCAAAAATGATCTATATCAGGATTGCTGCAGAGCAAGTACACACACACCTGAACCCTCAGCTCAGCTTTATGAGAGGCCTTTTGGGCAAAAAAGATAGTGCACTGTCCAGTCCTAAATTTTCTCTGGATCAGAGTCTCCTTTGCAAACAGAAAAGTCCTTCCAGAGTGCATGTCTGCATGTTACCCATTGTTCTTAAAAGCTGTATTTATATCTTGCAGCAGTCATGATCTTAGACAAGATACTCCATTCCTAAGTTTGAAAGAAGGAAAAATGCCTCTTCACGTGCTGAAGTGCCAGTCATCTGCAGTGCAATATGCATTAAACATGTTTAAATCTGCTACCTAATTGTAATATTTTAATCTCTGAAAGTTCTCCATGTAACTAAACATTACCCTCTAAAAAACTATCATGCAAATCAACCTAATCTGTATTATATAAAGTTGCAGAAATCAATTATTTTTCTTACCATGAATTTGAGCCCCAGCTGCAGAATGGCGTTCGTTTTAAGTATAGGCCCAACCTTGCCTATTATCCAGGGACTGGTGAATCTTACCCAGGCTACGATCTAGTACACACCTCCCTGAAAGTAAATCCCACTGAATTCAGTTGGGGTTACTTCAACTACACATGCGCATGATTGCATCGTAAGATAGGTATAAGGTCTGGGTGGGGCACTTCACGGATAGTATTTCTGCAGACTTCTTAGAGGAGAAAAAATGTGAAAAACACAAATATAAAACATCTTGATCAAAGTGGTATTTAATGCTAAGCAGTTAAGAGTGGCAAACTAACATTATGGAGCTAACAAAATTGCAACCATTCACCCATAGCCACCAAATAAGACATTTCTCATGCATATGACAAAATTGCATTTAAGTAATGAGGACTGTTTTCTGTATACAATATTTTTATAAGTTATGTTTCACAGCCTCCCCCATCTGAGATTAATTCAAACTGATTATATTATATTTTGTATATGCAAACTATTTTATATACACATGAATATAAAGATCCCTAAAAGTACCACTGGGACTACACCCTTGAGCTTTCTGTAAAATGCATAGCTTTCTTTCATACCATTTTAAATATTTTCTTTCAAGTTTCCCAAAAAACTTTACAGATTAAAGCTGCTTTTAGTGTGGGATGTTTTAACAAAACCCAAATGACGCAAATCTAAACTGATATATATAAATCACATATTTGGCTCTCAAATTAATGAATTAAACAAACTAATGATAGTTCCAGTCATCTACGCACTCATGGAGTAAGCAAAGTGCTCTAAACATATAGGAAAACATATAGGGTTGCAGTGCAGTATTTCTGGTGCAGAAAAATGCTTTTGTTACACAAGTGACCAACTTCACACTGAAACTTCAGACTTTTCCAAAAGCTTCAGTTTGCATTCAGAAGCCAAAAATGAGAAGAAAGTCTGGTCATATTTGAAGAAGGGCTCAAGCCCATTTCACTCCTCCCCACATTTTCAAAAGAAAAACTGCATCACACAAATTACAAGTGTCATACTCAAACAGCGTCTCCCGTCAGTCAAATATAGCTCCATGGACAGCTACGTCATTAGGACCCATCATTCAAGAATACAAGGCTAACCCATGACACTTAAGTAGTGGCAATCAAGCCCATGCTGTGGCTTTTGCAAGAGCTTCCATCATGCCTTGTCAAAGCTTCATTCGGAAGATGGACTGTAGAGATGTCAGTATCTAGCAGATCAACTCATCTTTGTATAAGCATATCCCAATTACTTACGCAACTGCCTCGCCCAGAATTAAGCAACAGACGAGCACAATCCTCTTTCACAGTAGTCATTGTGAACATGGGCATTGGGAGCTGTGGGCACCATCACCATGGAATACATCCTAAGCAATTTTCCATTTGTTTCAAGGGGGCTTGCATGGCAGACACTCCTGGTGGATCATGACCAAGGGCTTCTTACGCCAGCCGTCAGTCACAGAGATCTAAGCTTGCTAGCAGCCAAGTATCTTTATTCAATAGGTGTCCATCTGCTCGCCAGGCTTGGGTTATCAACGAAGCATCCAACCGGCTGCTGTAGTGATTGCATGAATCAGTGAAAAGTCGCTCCCACACAGGAGATGCACATGGGTGGGGTTATTTACATCCACAGCTGGCAAACAGCCCTAACATTATAAACGACTTTGCTACCGTTCCTGTCAGTGGCTGCAACAGCCTTACAGCCAACTTAAAGAATGGGTGCTTGCGACTGTAATCTTGGAGTAGGCATGGGATGTTTTACTGCTTAGTACAACTGATCACACAGATCAGCATTACTTTTAAGACAGTCATGAGTCTAAGCAGAGCCTCGTACCCAATGCAACAAACGAAGGGCCTAACGGAAATACACAGCCTTTAACTGGGGTAATAATAAACCCTAACACATTTGTGGTAATTTAATCACCCCATGATAAAGATGGTAACTCAGAAAGAAAGATTTGTAAAAATCAAGATCCTATTATCCAACACAAAAAACTGTTGAAGTAACTCCAACATTGTAAATTATACCATACCCTTCTCACTGTTCCAGTGAATCTGCACTGAAAGATATTCCTCCTAATGCAGGAAGATCCCAGCCCTATTTGCTCCTTTTGTGTCACTCACATACACATTGTTGGCTGTAAGACCATGGCTGTCACCCACGGCAGTAAAATTATTGCAGCTGATTCTGAAAAATGGAAAAAAATAAAACCTCGGTGAAAGAACCCCTATCTACAAAGTGATTTAATGTTGTGTTTCAGAGGCTATTTTGGTCATTCTTGCAAATCACAAAAGAAAATGCCTTTATTTTTGAGCAATGCATCTGAGAGAACTAGGCCCATCATGAATATAACATTCAGCCCCATATAAATAAGTCACCAGGTGTGAAAGCAAGGGGAATTATCTTCAATTACAGCTTACAAGCTTTCTATGCTAGATTCTATGCAGAAAAACAACACTGCCATGAGGTTTACAAAAAAGATCACTTCAACCAGTTGCTAGTTTATAAATAGGTAATGCATGTTTGGCTATAAATTAACACAGAAAATAGTTAATGTTCAAGTGAGAGACAGGTTAAGTTTAACTGCAGAGTCGCCAAGAGCTTCAACATTAATTTGCGGCCACCAAAATGTGTCTTAGTAGCCAGACATTACAAACCTTTAGCACAGCAGTTTTAAAAAAAGAGACATGTTTTGTTTTTTGCTAAAAATGTATGACAGTGCATAGCCCAAGTCAGATGGTCAAAGTGATACAAAGCTTTCAATGCCAATTTGCTGCATTTAAAAAGGGACCCATCTCCCTTTAAGTATGCTTGCCAAAACAAAAAACAAAAAACAAAAAAACACACACACAACCAAATTGCAAAGTCCTGAACTGTAGTAAAAATATTTCAGTCACAGACTGATTAAAAATGTATATAACTGTGCAGTTCTGAGATTTAGGGTCCGCCTGCACATTTTACTTGGGTTCCTCAATTGTCCCCTTGCTGAGGTCTGTCATTTTGGGATATTTTACTTTCTTCTGGTCCAGCTCATTCTGCGCCCACAGTAGTAATTTCAGTAATTTAGCCAGCTTGGGTGTTGACTCACGATTTTCATAGTCTAGAACAGCTTGGTTGACTTCACTCCACACCTAGGAGAGATCAACGGCATAGTTTAGTTCAACATACACCCATATTAAAGAAAGACAAAGTGATCCAGTGCCTGTGGGGTTTTGAATGGGAGGACTAAAATTCCTTCTTGTTTGGGATGGCCTTTGGCAAGCCACAGAATCTAAGCCTCCAGTCCCCTCTGTAAAATAAAGGCACTAGCAACACAGTTGCGTGGATTACATAATGTTGTAAACCACTTTGTAAATTACAAGCACTACAAAATGAGTCTGAAGGGCAAGGTTTCAAATTGCCTTCCAGACAGGCTTTCATTCATGAGTATCCTTCAAACCAGAAAGAACAGTGCATTTAAGTAAGTGCTCTGTAAGTAAACATGACCAGAGAGTTTGGTAGTGGCTGGGTTTTGAGGTAGTATTCCAATTTTCATTTAAATATGGGGGCTTGTGAACTGATTGAAGTTAATGGGCAATCATCTGCTACTCAGTACAGCTGCCATAAGTCTCCAAGCTGGAGGATTATGGGCATCTAATGGAATGTAGGAGGGCTGCAGAGGAAAGCACTGCCTCTGTTCTTCCTTTGCCCTTCAAAACAGTTAGATGGCCTAACCTGGCAGTCTATGCATTTTATCCCTGCTTGTGAAAAGAGACTGAGATACCACCAGGATTCTTTGTATCCTGACACAGCCTCACTCCTCCCCTCCCAATGCACCCCAGAAAAGTTCTCCCACACCAGCACTGAAGTCACACTTGCTATTTTAGAGCTGTAGCCAGAATGAGCTGCCCTGGATAAGATGGGAGAAGGATGTGCTCAGGTTAGGAGCTACACCTCTGACCTTGGAGCCAGGCTGTGAATTTTCTTATGGCTGTTTAGGCAGCAACCTCTGGGGCCTTCCTTTGAGTGCCAACTCCAAGGGAAGTGTGGAGGGTGACAACAAGGAGGGTTTTCTTGGTGGTGGCCCCCATCTATGGGAAAACCTCCCCACTGTGACCTGGCTGGCACCAAAAGTGTCATTTTTTCAGCACCAGGTTAAGACAGCCCTCTTTTCTCAGGCTTTTAAGGACTTACCTGGTCACCCAGGGGCTTGAGGATCACCAGGTGCCTCACAGGCATTTTTTTCTGGCATTCTCTGTATTGTCTGTTCCTATCACCTGCTTTTAGCTGTTTTAAACTTTTTTCTGATTATGATATTTTAATTGTATTTTATCACTTGTTTTTATGAACTGTGTAAACCACCCAGGGGACTTCAGCTGTGGGGCAGTACAGAAATGAAATTAATAATAATAATAATAATAATGGGAAGACAAATACAAGATGGATTGATTCCATAAAGAAAGCCACAGCCTTTTTGTCTACAAGAGCTGAGCAGGGCTGCTAAAGACATTTTGGAGGGGACTTATCCATAGGGGTGTTGTAAGTCAGAGGTGTTTTGACAGTACACAACACCAGAGCCTGTAAATTCTCGGAAAAATAACAGGCAATCCTTGTTTAGTCCCAATATACTATGAAAGATGATGAAAAGCACAATTTTAAAATGATGTAATATTTTATCATGTAATAAAGGCAAGTCTTAAAAGTGCCTTCATAATGTTCATGCTTTTGTTTTATTTTAGTTTGGCTTCCACAAAAAAGAACATAATTACTTTCTGTCTCTGCATCATGTTCAGCAAGTCTCCAAAAGGCGATTCCTCTGGGTTGTCAAAAGCAAGGAGGGCAAGAGTACGCTCCATCTCTGTCAAGCATTCCCGACTTTCCTCTCCTTGTTCCGCCAACTGTGTTTGAGCAAATTCCAGTGCAGCTTCTGTCTCACGCTGCCGAATCAATTCAATTAAATGCTGTTGCTGTAATACAAAATAAGTAAACAGGCAATACCAACCATGATGCATTCAGTTCATTTCATACATTTTAGATTGACACTATACATTGAGTGTTCAAATCGTGCAACATAAGGCCACTGAATTAAAAGGGAGCCTATCAAATGGTCAGAATTCCAGCAGAGGAAGATTCAGTTGATTAGGGAAGCTGATGCCTCATGAAGAAAAAAAAAATGGGCACATGACCTTCAACTCACTCAGAGAGTCCTAATGACTAATGTGGTGGGGGATAAACATCCAATTAATAATATTAATAGAAAAATATCACCAGAAAAAGGCATTCTCTGAATCATGCCTCATCTCCTCTTCTACAGCCAACATATTCTCCAGTAACCAATCAAAACTACTTGGTATACATTCCTGACCTCACCATACTTCCCTGTGTTGATCATGTACTGAAAAGGCTATTAAAGGAGCAAGACTTGGGGAATCTGATGCAGAACAGGCTAGGCTGAAGGATCCTCTCACACCACTGCCCCGGCACAAATTCTCCCTTCATTTCTTTACATGATTTAATACTATATATGCCTCAATGCTAAGCATGGTTAACACAAATTGGTATGTCCTTAGCAAAGGGCTGCAAATATTCAGACCATGATTTCAAACCCTCCTTATGATGGGAACATTGGTGAGCACTGCTAATAAATAATGCCAGTGTAGATGCAAAGAAACACTTTGCCAACAAAGAAGGGAGCAAGCATATTGGCTTGTGGACCATTCTGTGCATGGAAACTTTTAACACTGTTGGGTGTGCCTGCATCTAAGATAATTAAAAATGCACACCTCATAACAAGCTACAACCTGCCCTCTTGTTTACTAGCACAACAATCTTCCTTTGCAACCTGTAATTAGTTGTAAATACAACCAATACATGTTTAAAGCTTAACAGTACTTGCTACCTTACCTGTAAATGGAAGTAAAGGTATCGGTTTGTGTCTAACAATTCTGGATGAAGACTATTGATGAGTGCGATGGCTTCCTGAATTTGACCCTTGAGGATCATCTCTCGAATTTTTATTCTTTCATCAAGCGTTTCCAAATCAACACTTGGCTCTATTCCAGATTCCATCCGAAACTTCTCTGCCGCCTCTTTAAAGCCTTCTGAAATACACAAATAAACTTCTTAGAGAAAAAGAAAATAATTTGTTTAACCCAGGAACCTCAGGAATGAGTAGTGTCTGCGAGCTGCATATGAGCCATTTCTGCTTTCAGCCACAATCTGTGCGTTAACCCTGGGTTGCTTTATCCATAAACAACCCAGGGTTTCTGGGTTCACAACTTGCAAAACAATCCAGGAGCAGGACACTCCTGCCCTGTTAACTGAAAGTGGAAATAGCTCGTGTATTCTGCTCATCGCCAAAATTTCTGAGTAAATAATCCAGCAAGTGCCACCTTGCCGTGTGAACTGGGTGAGAGTTTTGTTCAGTCGAAAGTGTAAGCAGCAGTGCATGGCTTGGCAAGAACTTCTAAGGCTTGTTCAGATTTTTGAAGTTACGTATCTTTGTCAAAAGCTGCTTAGACAAGTTTCCAGAGACAACTGTTCCACAAAAGTGCTATAGCCAGTCCAAATGACAAGAATTTTACTATACAGGTGGTTATACAGCCAATTTAAAGATTTTTAATAGTATATTTATCCTACCTTTCTGCATGGAAAAAGATCTCCAACAGCTGACAACAATTAAAGTAGATACACAGCAAACATAAGTCTTTTTTAAAAGGGGTATTTTATAAAGGCACTGAGTGAATGAGAATGAACAGTGTCCACTCTCAAAGCTACTGCTCTTCTGAGGTTCCACAATGACAAACATGTCTTTATGTATGTTATTGACATGACACACTCCATAACATAAAAAGTGTGCAGACAGTTCACACAATAAAACAGACTTAAAACATCCAGAAATAACAATTTGAAAAGCCTAAAGTGTCTGCAAAAGGAGAAATGTATTTTCCTGACAGTATGGGTGCCAGGCAAGCTTCTTCAAGGAGAGCATTCCACAGACAATACCTCTATCTTAACGGAAGCTCAGTCTAGGCCACTGGCCCTTGTCCACTTCATTAACCCTGATTCAGAGCCCTAAGGAAGGAAAAACTCTTGTGTGTGCAAAGTCAGGCAGCACCTCATGTTTTAGTTGCTGGAGGGTAGCTGATCTTGTCACTTGGGTAGCTGCAGTTCTGGAAAGGATGAGGAGACTACAAAGTGACTACTATCCAACCAGAAGCCATGGATATTGTTGAGGTGTCTCAGCTGGTAATATTTAAGGAATAAAACCACGGCTGGAACAAACCAAGCTGTTTAAAAATGAGTCCGGAAGACACCTACAACACTACAAATACTTCAGTTCCTCACAATATTGAGAGCCAGTGTGGTGTAGTGGTTAAAAGCATGGGATTGGGACTCAGACGATCTGGGTTCGAGTCCCTGCTCGGCCATGGAGCCAACTGGGTGACTCTGGGCCAGTCACAGACTCTCAGCCCAACCTACCTCACAGGGCTGTTGTTGTGGGGATAAGATGGAGGAGGAGAATGATGTAAGCTGCCTTGAGCCCTTGGCAGGAAAAAGGCAGGATATAAATTGAATGAATGAATGAATGAATATCTATGCCACCTGATGCTATCAATGAATGAATAAATGTTCTCAAATTAATGCTATTCCACTAGTAATAAATTTCTGTACCAAGCCATTGAAGATTACCTGTAACAAGATAGTTCATGATCAGGCGGTTCATATCAGCTCTTTGGATGTGCAAATTATTGAGCTTTTCCATCCACTCGTCTTTTGTAATTTCATCGGGTTTTTCTGCATAACTCATTCTTGTCCCTCACTAGGAAAAAAGAAAAGTTGTGGAGTTACAGGGTAATACAAATAAACAAATACAAGAAGAATAAATACTTCTTAACCGTCCTCAACAGCTTTCATTGCTCAGTCAGTATAAAAATAGTGACCAAAAATGGTGCACTGACCTTTTCTTCTGCATTCACAAAGCAGATGTAGTCACTTTCTCCAACTAACTACTAAGAAAAACTTCAAATATTCTACTGCCATGTACCTACTTTACATTTTGAGTGTTGAAAGGGCTTTCTGTGTACTATACCAGTAATGCTTGTAACAATGATGCAAGATTGCTGGGTGTATTCCCATTACAGACAACAAGCTGAGAAATTTCAGCTTTCCTAAGAACACTTCAGATTGTAGTAGAGTTAAGATTTGATATTCTGGTTCACAGCTCATCCCCTAATGACCTAGCTGCACATATTACTAATGAAGCAAATTGCCATGACACAGAAGTTAGCATGTCCCAGATCTACTTGTATAAGTAGCTCCTGCTGTTTTTCTTAACCTGCCATGAGCCAAAACCACTCTTAGACTTATCCAAACTTTTAAAGTATCCTGAAGCCTGGCAAACAGAGTTCAAGTAAGAACGACTATTTTATTTGTGTAGGTGAGAAGGTTAAAGAGATTTCTAAAACTGTGGACAAAAAGAAAAATCTGTCTCAATAATAGTACTTCAGTCATTTAATGAAGTTACCTGGCAGTAGGTCAAAGCAATGTATTTCCTTAAACTATTGCCTAGTTAGCTTATGGAATTCACTGCTACAGCTTGTGGTGTGGAAGCTTGTGGTGTACCTCAAATGGCTTTCAAAAGAACTGGACAAGTGAATGGGTCTACATCAGACTGAAAGATGTGGGCGACAAAAAGTAAAGACTAACAACATGACGTCCTGTTTGTGAGCTTCCAAGAAACACGAAGTAGTCACTGTTGGCCAATGGCACACTAGACTAGAGATCTTGGTGTGACCCAACTAGATGGCTGCTATTGCTGTGACAGAAGGAACTAATGCAGATAAAAATGCTTTTTATGTAAATACGTCTAGCCCAGAAGACAAGGTAGGGATGCGGAAGGAATCCAGTTTTGAGCAGAAAATCTGCCTGATTCCCTCAATGCAGAGTCTGAGGTCCTGGTGAGCGGACCCAGGAATTGTGGGGTGCTTGCCAGGAATCAAGCCCCACCTGCTGCACAAGCAGCACTGCTCCTCCATGTCTGCTACTGCCAGCAGCGGTAGCAAGTGGGGAAGAAGGCTGGTCATCAAAAACAGGGGCTGGGGAAGGTTGCTGACTGCACAACCAGGAGTCCACAAGCGCCCACGGATTCCATCTTGGCTCAGCTTGCTTTACAGGACTGGACTAAGCATGAGAGGAAATCTGCAGATTCTGGAGGGACAGATTCCAAAATAGTTCGCCTCAACCCTAGAAGAGGAACAATTTCTCCTAATTAATGCAGTACTACCTCTAATTGGGCCCAACATACTAAAATATTGAAGTCAAACTGCCATAGTCAAATCAATTACAAACCCTACAAGAACTTTAAGTGAATTCAATGGGCTACAAGTAAATACAGAGGGTGCCAAAAATGTATACACATTTTAAGAAATGTTATCAATGTATTACTTTCTGAAGTTGAATTGAATTACAGTGGCAATGTGTAGTATGATGTTCGCTCAAAAGACGGTGTTAATCAAATGAATGCTAGCGTCACCATGCAACAGTTTTTAATACAGGTGTTTTTCCTTTCTTAAAATGTGTATACATTTTTGGCACCCTCTGTATACATAGGCTGTTACTCATGGAGTAAATAAATAAGTCCTGAGTGCCACAGTAATAATCAGCTTCCTGTTTTTACAATGGAATGCTAATCATGAATTGCTGCTTTGGCTTTGTTGCAACAATGAGTAAGAAATAACTCTGCAATTGTATTCCACCCTGTTTTGTATGTATGAAAGTTATGTACCAAACTGAAGGCTGGTGGTTAAATTCAAAGCAATGCCATCTTTAAACAAACTGCTGTTTCAATTTTACAAGGCTATTGATTCTTGCCACTATGTATTTTAACTTCTGTAGGACTCTTGGTCAGAACTCCTTAATGCAAACATTTTCCCCACAAATGTAACTTAGATTATAAACATTTTTTGGGCTTCAAGGATAAAACATGCTGTATGCTGCTATGTGCCATCAAGTTGTCTATCATTTATGGTGAACCTATTAATGAATTTCCTTGAAATATCCTGTCTGTAAAAGCAAGCTGCAGTGAAATGTGACAGAAAATGTACCTCCCACAAAAATTCCCTATTATGAATGTACTAGAAGTCCTATAAGAATTAGAATCAAACTTATCTGTAGCAATGAACAACTAAAAGGAACTGTTCTGTGAATTGTTAGGATTAACTTGTTGTGCCTTCCTGGTTAGTAGGAGCTATTTGATGGTTACATGACTTTCTAGGAGGACCATTGCACTAATTTTCCTTGCAAGCCAAGTAATGCTAAAGGAGGTGCAACCAAGAATTTAACCCAATATAGAGCAAGAAATGCCTGATATTTGAGTCGAATTCGGAAAAGGCACTCGATATAGCAACTACATGTTGGCTACAGGAATGCACCAAAGAATTTCAGAAGAACATCAGACTACTCTTTAGACTACAGCAAAGCTTTTGACTGTTGGGTCATGAGAAGCTGTGTGTGGTTGTCCCTCACTACTTGACTGTTCTGATGCATAACCTGTATCATGGACAAGAAGCTACTGAAGCAAGAATATGGAGAAACAGAATGGTTTCTTACAGGCAAAGGGTGTTTTCAAAATCTCCCTATCTGTTCAATCTGTATGCAGAACATATCATAGGGAAAGCTGGATTAGAATCAGAGGATGGAAGAGTGAACATTTGTGGAAAATACAGCAACAAATTAAGATATGCTGATAACTCTATATTACTGTCAGAAAACAGCAATTAATTGAAATGACTCCTGATGAAATGCAAAAGCAGGGCTGCATCTGAACAAAAATCATGACTACAGAAGAATTACACAACTCTAAAAAAGAATGAATTGAAATTAGAATTTTATTTGCATAACTTGGCTCAATCATCAATTCAAACGGAGACTGCAGCCAAGAAAAATGAAAAGGACAGACTTGGAAGGGCAACAATAAAGGAACTAGGAAAGATCATCACATGTGTGGACATTTCACTGGAGACCAAGAATATCCACACTGTTGCATTCCTGGTCACAGTATGAAACAGTGGATAGCAAACAGAGCTGAAAACTAATAGTTTTGGAACACAGTGCTGGACTGCATGTCCTGGACTGACACAAAGGCAAACAAGCAGGTCCTACATCAAATCCAAGCAGTTTTCCAGGAAGCAAAATGGATGAAACGAAGACTGTTGTACTTCAGGCACATCATGAGAAGGCAAAACTCACTGAAGAAATAAATAATGCTAGAGAAAGTCGAAGGCAGAAGAGGAAGACCAAATAGGAGACTGAACTACAGAAAGAGGCTGGAGTCTAAGTCAGAGGCTTGAGTTTACAAAAGCAAAGAGGGCAGGACATTCTGCAGGGTACTCATTCACAGGGTGGAACAACCATGAACTCTTATCTAGAACTGAAGCCTCTCCCCAGTTTCAAAACGTTACATTCTCACATATTTTGAAGGACCTGGACTCTACTGGTTATCATTATTAATATTGTTTATTTCATTTTATACTGCCCCGTAGCCAAAGTTCTCTGGGTGATTTTACAACATAAAGCTTACAACACAAAGTGGTCAAAAGGCTTATTGAAGTAATTGATGGCACTGAATACACATTCTTAGTCTTTACATAAATACTTAAAACACAGGTTTCAAGTCCTGTTAAATTTGTTATGATTAAAAAACTCCCTAGTAAATAGAGCAGATCAAACAGCACAAAGTGCACGTGTTACTGAAACAAATATAGCTTTTCCCAAAAACTTTGGAATCGATATACCTTTTCTTTTATTGAACGTGTTTCCTTAAGATGCAATTGTTCGGAAGGAAAAGAACGGAAAGAGCTTTCTTTCTCTAAGCTACGGACCAAGTTTCTCTGAGAGACCGCAGGAAAAACAAAAATTAATTCTACAGCGTGACGACTGCGTGAATTCATGCTCATTAAAATGATTTCTATGGATATAGAATATTGGAACATTTGCAACACGCTTAATCTCATCGTCGTCCTAAGTCCCCTGAAAGCCTGTTCACCTTAAGAAAACACCGGCCCAGCTGAACGGGAAGCGAGGATTTGTTAGTAAACACATACAAAAGAAACTTGGCCCTTCGGAAGCCCCAGCGGAAGAGCCGCAGGCGGCGGCACCGTCCTGCGGGAAGGGGGCAGGAAAGATCGAAGGAAAAGAGCGGGCGCTTTTCAGGCCTGCAGCACGAGACATGCCCGCCCACCGCTCTGCGAGCGCGTCTCGGGGCTTCCTGCCTCACTCAGGCCCGCCCGACGCAGCAGGCCCAGGCGGGGGCGGGCCCCTCCGCGCCGCCCGGCCGGCCTCGTACTCTCTTCGGGAGGCGCCAAGATGGCTCCTTCCCGTCAGGCGACACCGCTCGCTCGCCCGGCCGGCCGGCCGCCCCACGAAGTGCCCTCTCGCCCTCCCCCCACCGACGGGCGCCGCCATTTTACTCACCGACCGAGTCGCCGCCGTCGCCACCACCGGGACCTCGACGCCAGGCCCGCTCCGCCCCGCCTCCTCCCGTTCGCGCGCGTGATCCCTCACACCGCGACTCTCGCGAGAACTCGCCCGTGCCTCGTCGCCCCAGCGTCCACTCCCGTCTCGCAGCCAATCGCGTTGCTTCGGCCGCGGGGGATCATAGAGGCGGGAAAGACGGAGGGGAGCCGAACTCAGAAACGGAGGGAAGCGCACCATAGAGAGAAAGGACGGGTGTAGATCAGCCCCTTCGGGCAACATGGCCGTAGAGGGGAAGGCCGGAGGCCTAGAACGGCTGGTCTGAGCTAGGAGCTGAGAGAGCGGCCCTGGGCATCCTTAGGCGGGGAAATGGTCCACTTCGGAGGGTAGCTTGAGATGTAGAGAGAATGTAAGTTGTAGAATCTTAAAAAATATTTTAAAAAATTTTAAAAAAATATTATGTATGCTAGCGTTCGTTGTAGTGGTTACATGCCGTCAGATCATGCCAACTTACGGCGTGCCTGCCCTTGACAACCCTGATCAGCTCTTGTGAACATCCTTACATTTCTATCCTACCCGTTTTCCCCTTTGCAAGGGGGTCAGTGTGGCTCACATACAACAACCCTGTGAGGTAGGTTAGGCTGAGAGCAACCCCAACCCTTACTCTTGACCCTTGCAAACCTGGATCCAGGCAGTTGTAAATACCTCTCTGAAGGAGGGGCTGGTCCTGTCTCCTTTAAAAGGGGCAGTGATTAGATCCCTCCTGAAGAAGGCAACCCTGGACCTAGAAGATAGTAATAACTATACAGCGCTGGCAAACATTCCTTTCTTGGGCACAGTGCTTGAGTGGGTCGTGGCCAGGTAGCTCCAGGCACTATTGGAGGGTAAGGATCATCTGTATCCATTTCAGTCCCAGTTTTAGGCCCAGTTTGGGACTGAAGCTGCCTTTGTCACCCTGTGGGATGACCTCTGCCAGGAAAAAGACATGGGGAGAGCATCCCTGTTGGTTTTCCTGGACCTGTCAGCAACTTTTGACACCATCCACCATGGTATCCTTCTGGATAGGCTGGTTGGGCTAGAAGTTGGCAGTGCAGCTTTGCAATGGTTCTGCTCCTACCTGACCAGCCGATTCCTCTCTGGAGTGATGGACTGGATGGGGTAAATAACTTGAAGATTAATCCAGACAAGATGGAGGTGCTATTGGTAGGAAGAATCCTGAACCAGAGGGGTGCTATCTGCCGTATTCTGGATGGGGCTACACTCCCCCTAAGGGCTGGAGTGTGAGCTTGGGGGTGTTCCTGGACTTGGAACTGTTCCTGGAGTTTAGGTGACATCTGTAGTCAGGAAGCGTCTTCCATTAACTTTAGTTGATTTACTGTGTCCCTATCTGGACAGGCAGAACCTAGCATTAGTAATCCATGCACTGATAACTGCATGTTTAGACTACTGCGCTTTCCATGGGGCTGCCCTTGAAAATGGTCTGGAAACTTAAGTTGGTACAGAATGGAGCAGCTTGTCTACTCATGGGGACAGGTAGATACAAACATATCTATCTAGTGCTATATCACCGGCACTGGTTACCAGTTGAAGTCTGGGCACGCTTTAAGGTGCTTACACTAACATATAAAGACCTAAATGGTATACGGCCTGGATATCTAAAGGAATACCTTTTCCCAAATACACCTACCTGGACCCTTAGATCATCTACAGAGGACCTTTTCCATGAGCCACCCCGGAAGGAAGTGTAGAGGGTGGCTACAAAGGGAAGGGCCTTCTTGGCTGTGGCACCCCACTTGTGGAATCAGCTCCCCAGGGAAATGCACCTGGCACCAATGCCAGGTACATTCCACTATTTTAATTGTAGACTTTCTAGTTTTATATTGACTTTTAAACTGTCTGGTACATGTGGAATAGTTGTTATTATTTATTGTCCTGTGTTGTTGTAGTATAGGAAAAAAATTATTGGACAGATGTTTTTATTGCAGGCGAATCTGTTTTAAATTGTTGCAGTTGCTGGAATTTGTATATTTTAATGATATTGTGAAAACAGCTTTGAGAGCATTATGCTAATCAAACAGTATAAATGTTTTAAATAAATAGTAGAGAGTACTCCAAGGCACAAGCCATTTTCATAGGTCCACAGGTCCTTGACTATTGGTGCAGAATCTCCTTTATCATGGAAAGGCTGATGCTCCAAAAGAAAATCACATTCCATCCATTTATTGTGGCTTACCATCCTGCTGCCCTTAATTACTAGGACATAGTAAAAGATATTCAGCCATTTATATCCTATTGTGCTCATTTAGTGGAAGCCATTAATTCTTCCCCATGTATGGCATTAAAAAAAACCCCACTCAATTTGCATAAAGTGTAGTTAAACAGTAACTGCACTTAAGATATTTGCAGCCCAGGATCACAGCAATGTAAATCAGCATGTTGCATTACCTGCACTCATCTTGAAAAGGCTTTTTTTAGGAGCAAAGGTACTAATAAACCCATGGTATCAAATAAGCAGTAATACACACTCTTGCCTAAAATGCTTTGCTAAATTGGATGTAAAAGAAAAATAGATACCATGTGCAATATGTAGGGAAAATCACAACAGAGTTAAGAACAAGATCCCATAACCACAAATCTGTGATTTTTACAAACAAGAAACAGAAAACTAGAGCTGCCTGTTGTAGGAAAAGTTAAGGCACTTCCACACAGTTTCTCAGGTATACAGTTGTGTCTAGCTGAGCAAATGAAGGACACAGTCAAGCGTCACAGAAAGGAAAGCTTTAGATCTGCGTTTGTTGTTATGTGCTGTTAAGTTATCTGACTTGTAGCAACCCTTTGAATGAAGACCTTCCTCCATGTCCTGTCCGTGACAGCCCAGCTCAGCTCTTGCACACTCAAGGCTGTGGGTTCCTTTATGAGATCATTTCACCTCTTATTTGGTCTTCCTCTTCTATGGCTGCTGCTTTTTCCCACTTCTTTTCTTCTTAGCTCATTCATTTCCCCACATTCAAAATGGCGCTCTTGGTATCCAGTGGACACCACAGCTACTGAGGAGGGGAAAGCTGAATCTTCATTAAGCAATGTATTTTGAAATTAGTCTATCTTTCTTACATATTTTAACTTAAGATAGACTTTAGCCCTAGAAAATCCAAAGCCAGTGTGTGTATAAAATATTTACTCACACAAATATAAATACTATACATTCCCCCCAAAAAGGCAAAGCTATGGAAACCCGGTGCACCTCCCCCTCTCTTCTGCAGGGGAAGTATACAAGTGACTGAATATGTACAAGCGATCTCTGTTACAGCCAAACCATTTTCTGGCTATAAAGGCCCTAAACCGGCTCTTATCTCTGGTTGTTTATGCTTTCGAGCTGTGAATCTGAACTTGAAATAACCCTTAACTGAGGGGAGCTGTTAGCATCCCGCTCTTCACTTTCCAACCAGCACCAGTAGCAGGGTTGCTTCTGATGGAGTGAGTGTATAGATCTGCATGGCCTGTGTGAATTCTGCTGAGCAGTTCTGACAGGCATCTTATTGCTGCAGTTAAAATTGCTGCCCTGGATCCGGCCTGCTGTTGCCCCGTTCTCTGGGCAATGGGGGTATTTCCGTGCCTGTCAGCTGCAAGACTGGTGTGTACTTATTTATTTATTTAGAATTTTTGTGTGCCGTCCCATTCTCTTGAGCCTCAGGACGGCTTACATGCAATAAATAAACACAATACAAATAGTGCACATAAAATCAAGATTCATCCTGGCTGCAAATTAAAAAACCTATAGATGATATTAAAAATGGTTAAAATATTGTTTAAATGAAAAGGTCTTAGCCTGGCTCCGAAAAACAAATAATGACGGTGCCAGGCAGACCTCTCTGGGGAGCATTCTTCTTGCGCCTACTGGGGCAAATAGGTCACGATCCACATTTTGGTAGAGACAGGCAGGGTTGATAAATGACAATACCATCCTGTGGGCAAATGCATCCAACTGGCTGGCTTCATTTGGAAGACGCAGTTCAGATCCTCTGGCACACAATTCAGGGCTCACTGCTCTGGGTGCATGATATCCTGAGGGCTTTAGAACGATCATCCTAGGGCAACAGGATCTGAACCTTTGTTGCTGAGACAAGCCCTACCTGTGTGCATGTCTGCCTGGCACATGCCGTGACTCTCTTACCTACAGACCTGCCTCTCTTGTAATGAGAAGGCGCTATGGGTAAATGCACCCCACAGCAGGGGTGGGTTGTTGGGGTGGTTTACAAGCCACCGAGAGCCCATGTGCTTTTTAAAGGTTGCTGATGGCTTAGTGACCACCCCAACAAGCTGCCTCACCAGGTTCGTATGGAAGGACCAGTGCAGCCCAGCACAGCTGAAATGTTCAAAATGGTTCCTGCCACAATAGCAACAGGCTCACAGGGGAAAGTCAACAACATAGTGGTCACTCTTTGCTTGCCAACTGGGCCAGTCTTCCCTGGAGTATATTGAAGAAGTTGAACTGGATGGAGACCTTCTGATTGACAACAGATAACAGGACTTC